TATAACACTTTCTTGCTCTTAATTGGATATGAGCGAAAACAAGAGAATTTGGGAGCAGATGGCTGGTTTTTCAAATGTTTTGTTGCAGCGGGCCTGTCAATGTACAGCAACAGTAGAGCTTTGGGGAGCCTATTTCTTCTTGTTTGTCAGCAAGTAATGTTCAAAAGTGAGACCACTTCAGCATAATGATCATTCAAAATTAAAAATGGTGCAAAACCTAGTTCTGAAAGAGCCCAAACTCTGGGAAAATTAGGCTCTGGATCCAAACTTCGCATTCTTTGATACTTTGAGGGAGGAACCTCTTTCACCTCTGGAAGAGGCAATTTGGAGAATATAGCTGTATTTGTAAGTGCAGAGCTTCAAATGTACTGCATTTCATACAAGCAGGCTGACACTAATGATGCCCAAACCTAGAGGAGCATGGCAGCCAATGGAGGTATCCCTGTACTGAACCTGCAGATTCTGACAAAGAGGTTCTGGTCAATTAGGAGTATAAGTTTCCTACCAATAATCATGAAATTTGAGAATCCCAAAACACTAACGTTTCTTTCACTAATGTTTTCTGTCTTGGGCAAGGAGTGGGAGGTTTATGCAGCAGAGTATTCTGACACATCAAGCAGATTATGGGAAATCACTGTCACAGATGAGGCATTACAAGATAAAATCAAGGGAAAGGTATGATCAAAGTATCTAAGATAAGCTCCATAGCTGCATCTGATGAAGTGAGCTGTAGCTCACGAAAGCTTATGCTCAAATAAATTGGTTAGTCTCTAAGGTGCCACAAGTACTCCTTTTCTTTTTGTGAATACAGACTAATATGGCTGCTACTCTGAAACCTCCATAGCTAAGGCTATGTTTTAGTCACGGGTATTTTGAGTAAAAGTCATGGACAGGTCACAGGCAGTAAACAAAAATTCACAGCCCATGACCTGTCCATGACTTGTACTATATACCCCTAACTAAAACTTGAGTGCTCGGGGGCAGCCTGGGGGCACCACAGGTGCTCGGGGGGGGGGAGGCGGCCTGGGACCCCCCCTGGTGCTAGGGAGGGCAGCGCACAGCCCAGGACCCCTGCTGCTGCTGGGGAGGGAGGGGTTTGGCAGGCTTCCTACCCAGCTCTGGATGGCTCCCCAGAAACGGCAACATGTGCCTAGGCTCCTAGGTGGAGGCATGGCCAGGGGGCTCCGCACGCTGTCCCTGCAACTCCCATTGGCTGGGAACAGCAGCCAATGGGAACTGTTGGGCAGCACCTGCAGGCAGAGGCAGCGCACAGAGCCACCTGGCCACGCCTCTGCCTAGGTGCCAAAGGACATGTTGGCACTTCTGGGGCAACCCCCCCTGAGATAAGCGCTGCTTGGAGCCCTCACCTGTGCCCCAACCCCCTGCCCCAGCCCTGAGGCCCCCCCCAACTCCTGCTGCTGCTGGGGGGGGGGGGGGCGCAATGGCCTGAGACTGCCCCAGCAGCAGCTAGTGTGGCTGGCCCAGGGGCTGCCCGAGCTGCTCAGGCATCCCTGGGCCAGCCACTGCAGAAGTCACAGAATCCATTACCTCCATGACATGTTTTGCCTGTTCAAAGGCCAGTCGACAGGCTGTGGAACATTCCCAACACCCTTTTTTATTCAACTATTCAAGCAACACAGCACCGTGAACAGGTCCTTTAATCATCTAACAGAGAGTAGCAACATGTCTAAAAATGGGCAAATTTTGTTAAAATTAGTGGGCATACTGGCAGCTATTCTTAGCGTCTCTTTGTTTGGAGGGATGCAAAACCCCCAGAGTGGTCCAGTGCACAGTACCAAGGGATCCACAAGCAGGGCAAATACATCCCTGCCTACAGCTGTGAAGGGGGAAAATGGGCATGTTGAATGTCTTGGGCCAGCAGGTACAGCCTGAATCTCGCTTCATAGGTACTAAACAAATAAATGCAGCCCACATACATCGTACACCTATCTTTTTGTTCAATATGCAGCCTGCTCCAGCATGAGGGGGGAAAAAAAAGCAACTACATCTGCATTGTGGCAATGCTCCAAACGCACAGAGCCAGACAGAAAGGGCCAGCTGTAAACGGGGCAGACGCCTTAAACAGGCCTTCCCTACAATCTGCCTCCTTTCACCATGCCAGTTCTCTCAGTACCTGAAGTTACCAGACACACAGGTAAAGTTGGCTTGGGCAGTTGAGTGCACCTGTTATTAACAGCATAAAGAAAAGGAGTACTTGTGGCACCTTAGAGACTAACCAATTTATCTGAGCATAAGCTTTCGTGAGCTACAGCTCATTTCATCGGATGCATAAAGTGGAAAATGCAGTGAGGATGTTTTACACACACAGACCATGAAAAAATGGGTGTTTATCACTTCAAAAGGTTTTCTCTCCCCCCACCCCACTCTCCTGCTGGTAATAGCTTATCTAAAGTGATCACTCTCCTTACAATGTGTATGATAATCAAGGTGGGCCATTTCCAGCACAAATCCAGGATTTAACAAGAACATCTGAGGAACAGTGGGGGTGAGGGGGTAGGAAAAAACAAGGGGAAATAGGTTACCTTGCATAATGACTTAGCCACTCCCAGTCTCTATTCAAGCCTAAATTAATAACATTCATAAACCGGTCGGAGAACACTTCAATCTCTCTGGTCACGCGATTACAGACATGAAAGTGCGATATTACAACAGAAAAACTTCAAAACCAGATTCCATCGAGAGACTGCTGAATTGGAATTCACTTGCAAATTGGATACAATTAACTTAGGCTTGAATAGAGACTGGGAGTGGCTAAGTCATTATGCAAGGTAACCTATTTCCCCTTGTTTTTTCCTACACCCTCACCCACACTGTTCCTCAGATGTTCTTGTTAAACCCTGGATTTGTGCTGGAAATGGCCCACCTTGATTATCATACACATTGTAAGGAGAGTGATCACTTTAGATAAGCTATTACCAGCAGGAGAGTGGGGTGGGGGGAGAGAAAACCTTTTGAAGTGATAAACACCCATTTTTTTCATGGTTTGTGTATATAAAAAGATCTTCTGTACTTTCCACAGTATGCATTGGATGAAGTGAGCTGTAGCTCTCGAAAGCTTACGCTCAAATAAATTGGTTAGTCTCTAAAGTGCCACAAGTACTCCTTTTCTTTTTGTGAATACAGACTAACACAGCTGCTAAAACAACATAGTAACTCTGGGTCTTTATTCTTTCCCCATACATCCCCTAAAGCATTAGCTACCCATAACATGGGCGTACCAGCATTCTCCCAACAACAGGGCAGGGGTGCTATCTTCCCCAACGAAGGGGCATCTTGTCCTGTCCTATAAAAGGGCATCCAAACACCCTGGTACCACGGAAGGGAGGAGTACCACCTTTCCCTCCACATCAATGGGAAGCCAAACTCCCCATTTCTCTATGGAGAGGAGCATCTGCTTTCACACCTCAGTAAAACAGAGAGGGTTTGTAACACTCACCACCACCTGCCTTTAGTATAAGTCATGGGTGGATCAGCTTCCTGAAACCACAAGCCTCTGGCAGTACAAGCACTGCCTTCCAGGCCTCCCTCTTGCTGCACAGGTAGCGATAAGCACACCCCAGCCAACGATAAGTACGCCCCAGCCCCCAAGTCCTTGGAGCATTCCTGGCAGTATCCAGCCCCTTATCCACTGAACACTCACAAAATTGCCAGCCCTGCTGTTCCCAAAGGAACAGTGCAGACCAGTTTGTAAGATTCAACTCGGGATCACCACTTAACGCCACAGCACAGTGTTATATTTATAATGAAAAGAAAGAGTAAGTTTATTGTCAAAGAATAGCGATCCAAATGATTGCAGGAATATTGGAAACAAAGGATTACCTCTACAACAAAGTCATAACACGCTTTCTAGAGACTAACAAGCGATCCTCCTGGCTAAAGGATCTCATTTCACGCAGTTCTTTCCAAAATTTTCCACCAACGCTGGCTGAGGCCCCCCCCTTCTTTCATGAAGTAAACTTACTGTTTACTTCCCAGGGCCATGGGTTACAACCTTTTTTCATTTGCAGACCCCCCCCTAAAAAATTTTTTCAGATAGAGGTACAGAGCCCGTTGGAAATCTTAGGTTTCAGAGTAACAGCCGTGTTAGTCTGCATTCGCAAAAAGAAAAGGAGGACTTGTGGCACCTTACAGACTAACCAATTTATTTGAGCATGAGCTTTCGTGAGCTACAGCTCACTTCATCGGAGGCATACTCAAATAAATTGGTTAGTCTCTAAGGTGCCACAAATCCTCCTTTTCTTTTTGGAAATCTTAGACATAGACTGCGGGATCCACAGGTTGAAAACCATACTGTCGGAGGCGAGGGACGCCAGGGTATCTTCTTTGTCCCCCCCACTACATGAAACCTTCTGACGCCCATTTCAAGCTCGGGTTTCCCCCCCCGGTTAGTTCTTCCTGTTCCCTCTTTGAAGTTTCCACAGCCCTTCATCCGCGCCCAGGTCGGGCTGGCGAGCAGAGCCCCATTGCGAAACACGCAATCCTGAATGTCCACGTCAACAGCCCGCCAGGGGAACCTTCCTCGTCTGACAGGAAACCTGCTTCCCCGCTGACCGGGGCCTAGCCCCGGCCCAACAACAAGGGACCTTTCGGGGCAGCTCCGCCACTGCTCGCGCCCCAGCCGCAGAGGAGCCGGAACCACCCAGGCCCTGCGCGCCGCTGTGACCGGCTGCGTCCTCCCCTGGGGGGTGGGGTGTCTCTCCCCGCGCTCCGCCCCCACAGCAGGGGAGAAGTCCCCTCCCCCACCCGGGATGAGGCGATCAGTCACCACGCTCCTGCTCAGGCGCCTTCAGGAAGTATTAACTCCCACACGCCACCGACTCACCCAATCAGAGGCCTTCTTCTCCCACCCCCGTCCTGATTGGCTAGCTCCCTCTCGCCTCGCTGTTGATTGGCTGTCGCCTCCTCCCCCCACGGCCGTGATTGGCTGTCAGGGAAAGAGGCGCGCGCCGCCGCAGGAGTCGCTTTTGCCCACCGCGCCGGTCTCGCGCTTCGTGGGTCCCGCCTCCTGCCCCTGGCGCTGCTGTTGTGCGTCTGCTGCTGCGGCGAGCGCGCGCGCGGGGCGGCCCCTCGGCAGGTATATAAAGGGTCTCTGGGCCAGCGCCCCCAACGGATTATGTCCGTGTCCCCCGTGAAGCGGCCGAAGATGGAGTCGGCGCTGGAGCAGCTCAAGCAGCACACCACGGTGGTCGCGGACACCGGCGACTTCCACGGTGAGGTCACACCCCGCCCCCCCGAGGCATGAGGGGCCCGTTACCCCCGTTAGGGTAGGGGGCGGTCCCAGTCCCCCGTGGCTGCTTCCCTCCCGCCACTTACAGGGACAATGGGCGAGGCCGCCCCCCCCCAACCGGTCACGCGCAGGCGCAGGGGGTGTGGGGGAGGGGAGCCCGGAGTTCTGGCGGGCTCGGCTCTGGTGAGGCGGCTGCTCCAGGGGTCTGAGCGCTGGGCGGGACGTGCGGGCTCCCCGGCTCGCTGTCACCCCTGGGTGCCGCCGCCCTTCCCGAAGCAGGCGGCCGCGGGCGGCTGCCGCCCGCCCTGTAAGGGCCGAGCCCTCCGGCTCATTCCCTCCCCCGTTCCCCGGGGGCGGGGGCGGCTTTGCCACTCAGCTCGTGGGGTCCAGCAGCAGCAGGGCAGGGGATACCTCCCGGCGTGGGGGTGGGGAAGCTGCTTGTAAAGGGAAGCAAGGTCTGGCCACTAGCTGCTAACATCCTCTTCCTTGCAGCGACTTCCTGTTTGGTGAAGTGTAACCATGCTAGCGAGCTTTGGGGTCTTCGTGGGTGGGCTCAGTGTTTCCCACATACACGAACCTCCTCACGTGTTAACTGAGAAAAACGTGAATGAAACGCCGTGAACGTTCACCATGGGAGATAATCTGTAGTGGGAATTATCCATTCCCTGATGGAAGGGAAGAGTTAGGATAGGCTATATCTACACTACCACTTATGGTAGCAGAACGTATGTTGCTCAGGGGTCTGAATATCCCACTTCCCTGAGCAACGTAAGTTACACCCGCATAAGTGGTAGCATGCACAGCGCTATGTAAGCGGGAGCGCTTCTACTTCTGGCATAGCTATTACAGTACTGCTACTTTTTTGGGGTGGATTAATTATGTCACTGGGAGCAGCTACACAAGAGATCTTACAGTACTAGTACAGCAGTGCCACTGGGAGCTCTCTAGAGTAGACAGCCTAAGTATTTTGGTTTAAGGCAGAGGTGGGCAAACTACAGCCCGTGGGCCACATCTGGCCTGCTGGACCATCCTGCCTGGCCCGGGAGGCTAGCCCCTGGCTCCTCCCCTGCTGTCTGTCTCAGCCCCCCACCCCCAGCCTCAGCTCACTGTGCTGCCAGCGCTCTGGGTGGTGGCGCTGCAAGCTCCTGCCAGGTGGCATGGCTGCCAGTCCTGCCGCTCTGAGCGGCATGGAAAGGGGGTGGGGGGGGTTGGATCAGGGGCAAGTGGTCCTGGGTGGGGGGCAGCAGTCAGGGGACAGGGAGCAAGGGGTGGTTGGATGGGGCAGAGGTCGTGAGGAGGGGAGCAGTCAGGGGATGAGGAACAGGGGAGGTTGGCTAGGTGTGGGAGTCCCGGGGTGCCTGTCAAGGGGCAGGGGTGTGGATAGGGGTCTAGGCAGTCAGGGACGGGGGGGGGTGGAGGTGGGGTCCTGGGAGGGGGCAGTCAGAGGAGGGGGCCAGGTTGTTTGGGGAGGCAGAGCCTTCCTTACCTGGCCCTCCATACAGTTTCGGAACCCCCATGTGGCCTGCAGACCAGGGCTGGGCAAACTTTGGCCTAAGTTGTAATCTACTTGGAGAACATAACCTTGTAATAAAAAGAAACCCCTTTGTTAAACTTGGCTAAGAGTTATTTGCCTAAAGCTGTTTTGTCACTTGTGTGCTGTTATGAAAGACTGAAACGTCCCAGTTGCTTAATGTGGGATTGCACCTATTGAGGGGTGGTGAGTCTGCAGATGGAGAGAATAAGTGCCTTCTGCAAATTGTGGTCAGTCTTGCAGGACACAGTGGGATCCTATGGTTATATGGAAGTGCAATTTGCTAGTACAGAGAAGAGCTGGACTCAACACAAGAACACTGAATAAAACTATATAAATGCATCAAGAACTGAAAAGACTTCAACAGGAGAGAGGCTGGTATTGTGGTGAAGGCCCACTAGCAGGAATCACACATACATAATACCATCTTTTCTACACACTTCCTTTGTGACTCACTTGGGAAGTCAGCTGTCCTATGATTCAGTTGCTTCAGGTATAAAATGAGGATAATATCTGTCTCATGTTGATTAGTTTTGTAAAATAATTCTAGCTCTCTGGATGGAAGGGACCATAGAAATCCAAAGTAGTAATATGAAATTGTTACCCTGGCATGTGTGGGTACATGTGGAAATGTGGCCTCACTGCAATAACCTGTGTAATGCGCCTATAAACAAATGTATAAGTATGACCTACCAGCACTGACTTTTGAACTGAGATCTTGAAAAATTGTTTGCATTATTAAAATCTAAGGATGGTTGTTTCAAAGTGCATGAAACTATTGTAGCCCTACTCTTCTAGTTACTGTTATTACCAGAACTTTTGAGTGCACCTATATTGATAATGGAAACAAGTGAAAGGCTCTGAGCTAGCATTTATTACTATCAACAAGTATATGTACCATAAATCTTGTTTAAATTATCCATTTGGGAAACTAATGGCCCTTGGTACTCTTAACACCCTGATTCTGATTCAAATATTTCATCCTGATCAAATCAGGGTTTGGTAAATTCACTGGAAATAAATTTTACTCAGATGGTTTTGTTTTTTTAATGCTTGTATAGTTTTCTCATGGTGAAGCAAAACAGTTGAGAGGCACAGAGGAGTTAATGTAAGAGGAATTTTGTTTACTTTAGCATGAAAATGAGTAAGCCCTTTTGTTAATTTAAAAAGGGTGGGGCTAGATTTTTTTCTGTACAAGAGATCTTAAACACAAATGACTTTATACAGTACTCTTTAAATCCGTGTTAGTCTGTATTCGCAAAAAGAAAAGGAGTACTAGTGGCACCTTAGACTAACCAATTTATTTGAGCGTAAGCTTTCGTGAGCTACAGCTCACTTCCACTGAATGCATCCGATGAAGTGAGCTGTAGCTCACGAAAGCATCGGATGCATTCAGTGGAAGTGAGCTGTAGCTCACGAAAGCTTATGCTCAAATAAATTGGTTAGTCTCTAAGGTGCCACTAGCAGTCCTTTTCTTTAAATCCTGTAGCAATACACAGTGTGCTCAATACACTTAAAATTGAGGATTTGCTTCACCAGCTTCAGTGAACTATATGCAGGCTCAGTTAACTTAGTCTTGAATTATGTTTTAGTTTTGTGTCCAAAGGCTTTTAGTAATGGGAGTTTCCTATTTAGTGACTTCTGTTAAGACCAAGAGTATAGTACAGTAGTTTTGGTACAGTACTTGATCTTCATCTAAGATCCAGAAAAAAGTGGGGAACAAGTAATTGCTGGGGTTCAGTATTGGTGACCCAAAATCAAAAAGACAAAGTAAAAATAGTTTAAATGAGTTTTTTTAAGACATTAGAGTAGGTTCTACAAACCTGTTAACTCCTGATATGGCATGCTGGCTTCTGAGCATCTTAATTGACCCCAAGAGTAGGCCTTGTATGGTAGAGAGGACCATAGGACAAAATAATATAGAAAGAGCAGCCACAGCAAGGTTCCTGCAGCATGAACTCAGTTGTGCTGAAGGTAGCTGAGAGAGCAGGCCTTGCTGATGGGAATGGTTACTAAAGGTAAATAAATACAAGCAGTGAACAGTGGATACAAGTACCAGCAGGGAGCAATAGAGATTTAAGTGGAACAACAGGATCATAAGAATTTTCGGGGGAAGGCAACTACTGTGGAAACCACAGGAATTTTAAGGGAGAATGTCTCAGGTTCTGATTTGGCCAGGACACAAGTCCACACTCTGATCCTTGGGCAGAGGTGATCATCAAGAGCCACATGAGATCTTTAATGCTCCCCACCCCCCAATATCTTGGTTTTAGCTAATTGGACAACAAAATTTAATGCATGTAAAATTTTGAACCAATTTGTGTTTTGTGCAAGCCACAGTCCTCACAGGAGATGTCCAGCTGCTATGGGGACAAAGGGATTAACTCTCCTGAGCATTGGCTACCTTTCAAGTCAGTCTCATAACTTTTGTACAAAGAAAAATTAGTTCTTATAATGGTGCTGTGTCCTGAACCCAGATGTAACCCATTTATTTTGTCAATACATGAATTATTCATATATTAACTTGCATAAGGTGTCGATTTCTGAATCTTCAGCACTATCAAGTATGGCTAGTGGTGGCCCTTAACAGAACTTCTAGGACCTCATGTCTGAGCATATGGGAATTTAAAACATTGACTCTGTAGTCTTGTCTACAGTATGAAATACCTATTATCTGTTAGCAACAGGTGCTGAGCACTGTCTAGCTGCAAATTTTAACCATGCACTTTAAAACCGTTCTGAATGTAGTTTGTGCTTGGCTACATTTGCTGTTAGTGTTTGGGACTGGTTCAGCTGCAGCTGTTGACACCAGTCACCAGCACTGTGTTTTTTCAAGTGTTGACAAATATTTATTGCCTTATATAGGAGGGGAAATTGCTGGTGTAAGGAGCAAAGGACAGTCTAGTCCTGACCAGTGTGTTTCCACTGAAACATTGGGCCAGGTGCCTCTTGTCTCCATCTGTAGAAAAGTGATGTTCCCAGCAAAAGCGAAGAACACCTGATAAATTATTAAACTGTTAGTTTCAGTCTGCTGCTCTTGTTGGTGCAGCAGTATGGGCCAGACCAGTATGTACTTATTCTTCTGCACATTTCTCCAGCCAATCAACATTAAACAGATGCTGTAGCAGTGAGCAGGATTCAGAATCCCTATTTAAACCTTTGCTGAAAACTTGTTCTGGAAGGCTGAAATGTAGCCCCTTACTATAGGGAGCTAACTTTTGAACTCTGCCTTCAACTGTGACATCATAATTAGTGACTGGAAAGTGCTGAATGACACTATGCTTCTAGAGGGAGGGGATACCGTAAAAGTCAGTCCTTATCATATACCCACATGACACATCAGAAGTGTCAAACATTTGCTTTTTATCTTTAGCATAATTGAATTTTGCAGACTTCAGTAACACATGACATGCAGTATATATGTTAGTCCTAGAAGATACTTTACCCAGATGTGTATTGCAAATGAGCTTTATCAGTACTTACCCATCTTGGAGTTGCATTGTGTTGTCAGATAAAACATGGAGAGTGAATGAAAACTTATTCTTTCCAGTTTATCTGAAGGACCTATGGTTAAGATGAACGTGTCCAGAGAACCAGGATCTTTACTTAAAGGAAGCTGCTAGGAAAGTGTAGCTTTCTGTACAGTGTATCCAAATATGATCTATTAAAATTAAGTAGAATTTTCTAAAATGAAATCTCCCTCCTAGAGTGCAAAGCATTCAGAAAAATGAATTGGTAATTTTTCATAATTTTGACATTTAGCTCTTTCAAGAAACCTTATGTCCTCTACAGTGACCTCTGCTTATAAAACTATTTGCTGAGTCAAACATTGCATGCCAGGCTGCTCAGCTACTCAGACATGTTAGAACCAGACAGAGTACAGTAAGAACCACTTTGTGGTAAACATCTAGTGTCACCTGAAACGGATTCTCAACTCTTTTCTTTGAGGTCTTTCCCCCCCCCCCCCCAACCCCCTCTACATGCTGTTAAACTCCATGGCCCACCTGTGTCAAACTGCTTTTCTGCATATAAAAGCCAGGGACAGCATTAAGGGGTAGCTATCAGGCCAGTTGCCTGGGGTCCTCATACCACAGGAGCCCCCCTCAAAGCTACATTGCTCAGGCTTTGGCTTCAGCCTTGGGTGGCAGGGCTCAGGGCCCTGGCTTCAATCCCAGGCTTTGGCTTTCTGCCCTGGGCACCAGTGAGTCTAATGCTGGCCCTGCTTGGTGGCCCCCCAAAACCTGCTTGCAGCAGTGGACACAATAAGGACCTATATAAGATAGATGAGTAACTCCTACAGAATCTTGACCAATGGTTTGTTCCTCTTTGGAAACACTAGAGCTTAAGTACTAAATAAAACTTGCTTGATCTTGTCACTATAGCTTTCAGTCACCACTTAGTCCTGTGGGTCTCAAACTTTTTGTATTGGTGACCCCTTTCACAGAGCAAGCCTCTGAGTTTGAGAACCTCTGGTATAGACCCTTTTGGCACCATTCCCCGGACTTGCAGACAGCCTCTTACTGCACCATTCCTGCCTCAAGAAAACACTTAACTCTGATATAGATTTTTATTGCTTAAGAGGCATGTTAACTGATTCTACTACTGTAACATAATACTTCATTGGTCAGGCTGGGTAACCTGTTTTAAACTAGGAATCTTTATTTTTGTAGCAATTGATCAGTACAAGCCTCTGGATGCCACTACAAATCCATCCTTGATACTAGCTGCTGCTCAAATGCCAGCTTACCAGGAATTAGTAGAGGATGCTATTGAGTATGGAAAAAAACTTGGTGGGTAAGTAAGACCATTAATTTAATTAGGCTTAGTTATGACAGCTGATGCCTTATGTAACTATTTGCAATAGCATCCACAGTGTTCTGTGGCCTTTTTATAACTTAAGCAAACATGAGTTTTACTCCTTAAAACATGCAGTCTAGAAGACTGGCTAACAAAGTGTGGGTGAAGGGATGCAACTTACAAATCAGCGAAGATGGTGACAGGCCACATGTGATAGGTGTATAATCCAGTGTGCGGTTTTATCCTTAGCACTGTAAAGACTATCCCTGATGAGTAGTTTCTGGTAAACATTATGTGTGTATCTACCTAGCAAAGAAAAACCTATGGCTTGCCTGTGCCAGTTAATTCTGGCTCCTGGGGCTCAGGTTATGGAGATGTTTCATTGCTGTGTAGACTTCTAGGCTCAGGCTGGAGCCCAGGGGCTCCAGGAACCTGAAAGGTGAGGGGGACGCACAGGGTCCTGAAGGCCAGGCTCCAGCCTGAGCTGAGAAGCCTACATAGCAATGAAACAGCCCTGCAGTGTGAGCCTATTGGCTGGCATGGGCCAGCCGTGGGTGTCTAGATGCTGTGCAGACATACTCTGTGAAGAGAAGTGAGTCTTCATTCTAATTCAGATCCCTTTTGAAGTAGCTTTGTGGGCTTGCTCAGGGAAAGCATTCCATGAATAGGCAGCATCATGAAGGAAAGCACAGATGTTTATGGGAGGAAGAAATGGCGTATGGACTCTGGTAGTATTGGTGAAACATATATGGGACAAAAGACCAGAGTGGATAAATAGGGAATGGGAGAACTACTCAGTGATTTTAAAGGCTTGAACTATATGTGGAGGGAGCCAAAGAGATTTAGCATACTAGCTGCAGTCTTTCATACATTTCACTCATTAAATTTTCATTCTTTCAGGTCAGATGATGAACAGGTCCAAAATGCAAGCGACAAACTTTTTGTGGCGTTTGGGGCAGAAATACTGAAGAGGATACCAGGTCGTGTGTCCACAGAAGTAGATGCAAGGTTTGTAGGCATGTTGTATGCAATTTGTAACCAAGGTGTTCCTAATCTTCTGATCTTGTAACAGTGAAATGTTCAGAGTTTAAATTACTACCTTTTCTGTTTAATTGAACTGTGAAGTCACAATTTGCCTATCTAGGTTTTTACTGCATGCTAGACTAAACTAAGTGTGAAATAGGGTTACTCTTCAAGGCAGTTGTAAATAGGATTCACCTTCAGCATAGTTAAGGCACAGAGCACATTCTCAATCTGTCTACCATTCTTCTGACTTAAAGAAATTCAGGCTTTCAATTTACTTGATTTAAACTTAAGAGTTGAGTTGTTTCTTTTCTTTGCCCTTCTCCCACCAAAACTTACAAAATGGTACACTGTGGTTTTGCTTTAACAGTACTTGGGGTAAGGCCTGTTAACTTCCTTGATTCTCTTCTACTTTTTCAGAATCTAAATTCTGTATGAAAATTAAAGCAATAACTTTTAATCTTTCCCTGAGAAACATCCTTGGGTTTTCTTGAGCTCTGGGCCCACTCAATCCTAGAGAATGTTTTACAATTTTTTTTAATGCTTTGGTAGATTTTTAACTACAGCCCCAAGTAAAAAAAGCTATTATTGGGTGTTAAATTTTAATACAGGGTGCAGGAGAGTTCTTTGGATTATTATGGCTAAATTAGAGCCACTCAAATAGCCACGATCTGGCAATGTGAGAGCATGTTTCAGTCTACCATTATCTGTTGGTGGAAGCTAGAAAAAGATGGATCTGGGATATAGACTTAAAACAAACGTTTGTAACTTGGTTCAATCCCTTTCTTGTTTCAAAGGTTGTCCTTTGATAAGGAAGGAATGATTAAGAGAGCTAAGCGCCTCATTGACCTTTATAAGGAAGCAGGAATTGGTAAAGATCGCATCCTCATAAAACTGTCATCGACGTGGGAGGGGATTCAGGCAGGCAAGTAAGTGTCTGTAGCTGGTATTTACTTTAATGCTTCTAATGGCTGGTCATACATTTTAAAAAAAATCCTCTCAATGTGTTGGCTGTTTTGAGAACCATTCACCAGTAAATTCAGTTAGTGCGGTTAAATCTAACATGAGCAAGACTTTTTTTATTTGAGTTGTGGGACAAAGATACTCCTACTAGTGCTAGATCATTGCTTTAGAGCTCAATGTTATAGTTCAGTAACTAGTGACAGATTTATTTATGACAGGTTTCAGAGGAACAGCCGTGTTAGTCTGTATTCGCAAAAAGAAAAGGAGTACTTGTGGCACCTTAGAGACTAACCAATTTATTTGAGCATGAGCTTTCGTGAGCTACATGAGCTTTCGTGAGCTGATGAAGTGAGCTGTAGCTCACGAAAGCTCATGCTCAAATAAATTGGTTAGTCTCTAAGGTGCCACAAGTACTCCTTTTAGATTTATTTATGAAGTTTATTAAACTATTTGATTGTAGACTGAATGGAGGGGGAGGACAGACTCCATTCTAAGATGACCCTTTTTTGCAGGGTTCTGGAAGAGGAGTATGGGATCCATTGCAACATGACCTTACTCTTCTCCTTTGCTCAGGCAGTGGCCTGTGCTGAAGCTGGGGTCACCCTAATTTCCCCATTTGTAGGTCGTATCCTGGATTGGCATGTTGCAAACACAGACAAGAAGACTTATGAGCCCTCAGAGGACCCAGGTAAGCTTCCCTTTGAATATAATTGAAAAAGTTCACAAGTTATTTTTTAAATCTTCTCTTATGAACACTACTCTAGAAAATACAGTATTTGGGTACTAAAATTTACAATGAAGAATCTTTGCATTTTAAAACATTGTCTTGAAAATCACCAGTGTTTTCTTCATAGGGGTGAAGAGTGTCACTAAAATCTATAATTACTACAAAAAGTTTGGCTACAAAACTATTGTGATGGGTGCTTCATTCCGAAACACTGGGGAGATTAAAGCGCTGACAGGCTGTGACTATCTTACCATTTCACCTAAGCTTCTGGGAGAGCTCAGTAAAGAGAACACCAAGCTAACTCCCACACTCAGTGCTAAAGATGGTAAGTTAGTTTTCTTTCCTTGTAGAATACAGATTTGTTCCATAATCCTGAGACTCCTCTTTACTACTGAACATAGCTGATATATGGAAGAAGCCAGCTTTGGTAAGTGGTAGTACATAGCTTCAGCTTAAACTTAGTGCTTCTTGCCTCCATCCAAACTTTTTTTAAAGGGGTAAGACTTGGCTGATCTACTTAAGAGATACAGTAATTGCCTTGTACTGTCTTCATGACCACAGTGGCCATCAGCAGTCCTTGTGGCACTGCTGTTGAGGGAATCCAGTATTCTCCACACCTTTGATCTAGTATGTAACCAGTTATATTCCATTTATTTACTATCTTGGGTCCTTTTGAATGCATTAGCCAGTAACTAACCCAGATTCAAGTCAAGAAGACATTCAGTTTAAACAGCGATACTTCTATTAAATAACAATGGGGTGGAAGGGAGAAAACACCTCTAATTTGTATCCTGGGACTTGACAGTTTTTACAAAATCCTTTGGAGCAAGAAACTTAGCTGAACACTAATTTTGCAAGAATGTAAGTCCTCTAAAGGACTTCAGACAAGGCTAGAAGAGATCATACACCTATACAACAGTCAACATTTGAAACAAGAGTTTTTAAAAACTGGTCTCTTTTGAAATGGTACTAAAGTGTTGCAACTTGTTTGGTTTAGCAATGTTTCGCTGTGGTGGTTCTTGCATGTGGTCCTGGTAGCTGTACCATTCTTTCCTTCCTCTTAGCTTTATAAACAAATGTTAAATTACAAAATTCAGAATGGGAATTATGCACAGCTGCAATCATGAGCTCTATTAAGGCTCTAAGCAGTTGACAGGCTTGTTATCAATTGAGCTTTTGTTAGGCATCTGCTGAATAATCAGAACCAATTGTTTGCTTGAGTCCTTGCTCACTCCTACAGAATATTTTGTGTAATTTTTTTTTGTACTGTGGGCTGAAAGTTTAGTGCCATTTAGGAGCCAGATACAAACATTATAAACATCAATGCCTTAGCCTAAAACTTAGACTAACTGGATAACTTCCCCTAAGGTAGCAGTTCAGAATCAACAATATCTGCACTTATTCCCCCAAATGTGGTCACACAGTAAGTCTGACCACCTTATCAGCAGTGTTTGGAAAAACCTTTCAAACTTCAGCTAATGTGGAGGGGGCTACATAAGGGAGTTAAAGGAGCATTTTATTTTTGGATGACAATCTTTTGTATTTGAATTAGAATATTTTATAGATTATCTATTACAACTCCCTTTGTATAGCTCAGACATCTAACCTTGAGAAGATCCACATGGATGAGAAGACATTCCGCTGGGAACATAATGAAGACCAAATGGCTGTGGAGAAATTATCAGATGGGATCAGGAAATTTGCTGCTGATGCAGTTAAATTGGAGAGAATGTTAAAGGTAATTGCTTGAATTCTATGCTGAACTTGTATATGCCTATATTCCAGACCCCTCAGAATGACACCAGCTGATCCACACATGAGGTGTGATGCTGTCTTGATTTAAAGCAGTGTTTATTCTGGTAGCTAGGCTTGTATACAAACCATATTTATCACAATTTGCATTAGGTCACCATTCCTATGTGCAAAGAGGGTTAGCTGCCTAGATAGCATATGAAATGCATACTGGGCGTCTTCCTTCCAGTGTATATGTAATTGTCTTGTTGTTGTGCTTCCTGTGAACACTGACTAATGCAAGATGTAAACCAACATGAATGTTATCCCAAGTGCAAAGCAGTATTTATCTAGTAGCTAATCAAGACTGCACTACAGCTAGATGTGAGTCAGCAGGTGACAGTGAGGAGTTGGTATGGCTGTCAAATTCCTGACATAGAATCTGAAAATTAAGTTTCCACCTCAAATCAGTAATCTATCAGTATTTGTCTGAGGCACACTAAAATTCAGTACTTTCATAGTGATTAGGGCCAACTTTGGCAGTAAAACACAGGATGCATGGGGGAAAATGTTGAGTAAGGTGCCATTTTTATAGTCCACTATTTTAAAATGCCAGTTGAAATAATTAGGTGAATTAATAGTATCTTGACTGTACTAAATCTGCATGTATATTTTCATATCAGTTGTAGACACTGCTCATGTTGACTGCATAATTACTATTGTACTGGCTTAGTCTGGTGTCAAAGCTCTGCAGTTTTCAGACTTATCTAGGACTCCTATTGGAAATGCTAACTGCAGATTCTTTTTTTCCTAGGAACGAATGTTCAGTACTAAAAATGGAAAGTAGACAAATCAAAGTTCCTGCTGGATTGTGATGGCTGAATGAGTGGGATTATTAAAAATGGATGTACAAATACCTGTAAAATCTTATGCTATGTGTGGAGAGTTTTGTTTTCCATGTGTTTTTTTATCAACTTGCAAAGGGACAGACTTCACTTTGTAGCAATTTTAGCAATGTATTAAAATAGTTTGTGTAAAGTTTCACTGTTGTGCACTTGTTTAGATCAATATTTACATATTGCTGTACTCCTTGCCACCTCTTTTCAACTTAATTCTAGTGAAAGTGAGTGGCTATCTCAACAAGTAGCTAACTATTCTTAAACCCTTAAATGTACCTCCAGATGATACTAGGGAAACAAAGTATTTTATCCTGGAGATACTTACACAGCCTCTAAAACCACAGTATGTATGTGAGTACCTTTCCATTTAAAATAACTAATCAAAATAACTTCTCCAGGCTAGGAAGATTTGTTAAGCTTTTTAATCTATTATGAGTATGGGTGTGATTTTACTGGAAAAAAAGCTACAGACTTTTGTATTCTGGAAGTGGGGTGAAGTTGTCACTTGTAGCTGTGTTTCCTGAATCCCAGGCCAGCAGCCTGTCAAAATACCTCATTTATTGTAAGTGGACTTAATACATTTTTTTGGTTTGTTTCTTTTAGATGTTGTGGCTGTAAAAGCATTTAATAGCAACTTACGAATTGTGTAGCAGTTGAGCCCATGGGTTTTCCTCACTCCTTTCACTGATCTCAGAACTGTTACTTTACGCTTCTAGGTGCGACCCCATTTTATAGCTGAAGAATAAGGTTAAGACTTGCTCAGACCTACACAATGATTTAGCAGTTGAGCTAGGTATAGAAGGTTAGAGTCCTGCCTTGGTCATACTTCATTTCTGAAGTAAGAGCAAGTATTTTATTCCCTGGGGGTAGTTTGAGATTACCAGTGTTCACTTGCATTGTGTGTGCACATATGCCCTAGCTCTAGCAAACATTTGAGGCAGCCTGTCCAGTGGTTTGGGACCCTCATTTTACAGGGCCAGGACACACACCACCATATGAGTGCAGATTTCAGACCTTTTCCCCACTTGGTGTTAAATCTTACCAGTGGCTTTACAGACTTGCTATTTTCAGTTGACTCCACTACCCCACCCCATTTCCTTATGTATTGGACTAATTGTTGCTCAAAGAGACAAGCTTTTGAGCTTACACAGAACTCTAACTTACACCAGTAAAGGAACTAGAAGACAGAAGCCTGCAGAAAGAAAGCCAGCATTTGATGGTACAAGGCCCTGAAAGTCTGTTAAATCAAAGTTGCCAAGCTTGATTTCTTATATAATGCACATTCAAACATTTTCCTAAGGAGGTTGGATATTGGGGAAGGAAGGAAAGAGGAGAGGGACAGTAGAGTGTCAGGAAAACTCCTCACAAGGTAAATAGCTTAAATGTTTTGTCTAAGGAGCCAGACAACCCCCATTCTGCTGCAGAGCTTCTATACCTGTTCTAACAGCTAGATAATACTGCCTGGCTGTAGAATTCAGAGACAGTCCAGTGTTGCTGCAGACTCCAAGCTTAAACCCTACCATTCCCTTCAGGCCTAGACTAGAAGTTCTGCAGTGAACAGCAGAACAAGTTGATGGTTCTTTTTCTCCTGCTGCCTTTGGTTTTGTGCAGTAGTAACTTGGTTTCAGCTTCTAGCTCCATTGCTTCAGCTGAGGCCTCTAATCTCTGGTTCCTGTGGTGCAGCTTCCCCATACTCTACCACCCTGTACCTTAAGCCTGACCTGACAGGAACACCTTCTGGTGCAGAAGAGGTCTACCCCTATAGATACCATGTCAAACCTATTGAACTGCCACTCAGGAGGCCAGCCACTATTCCTCTGCAATGGTAAACTGAGACCAACTAGTTTCATCTATGTACCAAAGGCATTGCTGCTTTGGTTGTGAAACAAGTAGACCAAAAAAAAAAGTTGGAAAAAATTTCTACTTGTCCTGAGAATACTGCAAAGATTCTAGCACAAATGTTTAATCATGTTCTACCACTTAATGACCAAAAATCAGACAAAATAATCAGTCCATGCTGCATAAAGCCTAAAACATTTAAAGGCATTTTATGGAAGTACATCAGAACCTTGACTTGACACTCAAAATCCCTGCAACTCTAAACAATCAAGCAGCTGAAATTATTGAACCATCACTCTAACCTGGTCACTTTACATTAACTTGAAATTCTGGAACAAACTACTCCATTGTTATTGCCTAGTAAGTGACCAGTTCCAACTAGTCCCATCTCAACAAGGTGCCTTTTTCCATTCTGAACAGCTCCCTGTTCATAGCTTCCTCCCCTTCCAAAAAATGAAGCCTTTGTAGCATGAGAGCATATACTCCCATTCCTCTAAAGAAAGGGCTATTCCTCCTAAAACACTTGTTAAACTCAGGGAGTTCTCTTTCTCTAGTGCAGAATGCTCAGTGGAGCTCAATCAGTGCTTGGCTGCTTCTGTCCTTTTTGCTGTATTTTCTTTTCTGCTTCATAATTAAATCTGCCTCCTGTCTTATTAGTTTATAGGGGTCCAATTATATGTCAGGAGGATGTGGCCCTAGGTTGACACAATTAACGGTTTCCTGATTAAATTGATGTTAACTCAGTAAATTATATCTGAACTTTCAGCCTCCTAAAAAGCAGCACTAAACTTGTACATCAAGAACATCTGCTCTGTTATACCCATGCATTCACATTGAACAGTACTAGGAAAAAACCCAACAAGTAACAGGACTATAGGTAACTGTGCAGAAGGTTGGCAACCTAATTTAGCTAAGGCCAGAGGGGGGAATGCTCCTCTTATGTTGGTGTTAGCACAATTCTGCTAGAGAAGAAAATGCTCAAGCACCCCAACAGCACAAGACACAAGGGGCCAAATTTTTCCCTTGAATGTGTACATGTAACTCACTAACTTTACTGGGCCCTGAGAGCAGAATTTGGTTCAGCAAGCCTTGTCTGCATTCAGGTGCTAGCACTATGGAAGAAGGCGGCTGACTGGTAATTTTCACTTTCCCTTGCATTCTGTAATTCAGTCACACTCAGAATCATAGAGCCTTTGCTGATCTCCATTAATGTTTTTAGAGGCAGCTCCAATTCCTACTAAAACCTAATAGTAACTTAACTTAAATGAATTTGGGTGCATAGAATGGGTAGTCAAGTGTTCAAACAGTGTCCCTGGGGGTGCTCCACTTCAGGTGCATCTGTGCCTTTGATCAGAGACTTTTCAGTAAGCAGTGTCTGCTCAGCCTAGGCATCCACATGCCCATACTGAGGATATATAGAGCTGCATGGGAAAACTGCATTCCTTCTCAGCCGCCCTTCAGCATAAGATGGAGGATCAAGTATCACAGCTTCATTCTAGGCAGAAGATACAGCAAGGCAAGCTTAACTTTCCATGGATAAATAGCCTCCAGAGGTCAAAAGCCAGCACCTTAAAAAGAGAAAAACCAAGCCCCTGAAAGGCAAAATCCTACTGGTTTTCCCAACTGAAGGCCTAGCCAAGCTTTTAAAGGAGAGTTTGCAAACTGCCTGTAGTTAAACAGTAAAAATACACATAGGACTCTCATCATGCAGGCATTAGGGTTGCAGGCTGTACTCAGAATCAGGACAGTCCCATAGATTTCAGAATGGCAGACACCTGCAAGCAAGAGCCAAGGCCCAGGAATTTAGCTCTCCCACAGGGCAGTAAGCAGCACTGCACTAAGAAGCTTCCCTAGCCCCAGAACCATTGTCAATCTCTGCCAAAGACATTCCCCTCCCTCGGATGACCTTGGGCAAGCCACTTAATTTTTGTTTCCTGTGTAAAACCGATTGTTTTTCCGTCTTGTCTCTTCAGAACATGAGCTCTTTGGGGTAGGGTCCACCTTTTTGGTGTCTCTCTGTAGAGCACCTAGCTAGCACAGTAGGGTCCTGGTCCATAACTCAGGCTCCTAAACAGTACCACCATACAACAATAGAAATACTTCTGGAAATGGAGGTCACTGCAGCAAGGTCTTTCAAAGAAAACAGGACAGTGAGGTTTTCCTTAGAGTCAAGACACGCTTACAACTTTCAGGCCTTTTCTGAACCAGCCCACACCTCAAGAGGCACCAATCTTGAACCAACTGCCTACCAAAGCCAGGGCAGGGCAGGTCAAAAAGCAGACAACTTTCTGAGTGCTAGCACAGGTTTTAGGCATCTGCAAATCTGTGGAGTGTTTATCCTCTGCTAAGAAGTGAGCTGAATCTAAATTATAGTGAGGGAGAGTCTTCAGAAAACAACTCTGTAGGTTCTCTGGTTTTTGACTTCAGTTCTAGAATATACATTGAGGGGGTAATGCTCAGTTCCTACTAAGCTACTTTGTAAACTCTGAAATTCCAAAACATGCAGCCTTAATCTACATGTTAAGTGAAGTATACAGTAAGTTATGATTTCTTCCAACAAGAGACAGAGGCCTTTGTTCAGTGAGGATAAACTACTATTGTGTAAAAAGGAGTACTAGTGGCACCTTAGAGACGAACCAATTTATTTGAGCATAAGCTTTCGTGAGCTACAGCTCACTTCATCGGATGCATTCAGTGGAAAATACTCACGAAAGCTTATGCTCAAATAAATTGGTTAGTCTCTAAGGTGCCACAAGTCCTCCTTTTCTTTTTGCGAATACAGACTAACACGGCTGCTACTCTGAAACCTACTATTGTGTGTGATCGCCGTCATCCAACGGCTGCATTGCACCATACATGAGAGCTGCAGGCATGTCTGAGCTGGCAAGGGGTACAGCTGCCAAGGGACTAGCCAAATTAACTGGAGACCTCTTAGAGCACATAAAGCAAGAGCAGGGATGTAACTATGAGATATTTTTAAGAATGGGGTTCTATATATTACTGTCAATTAACAGAACCGAGAGTATGGGGCAGGAACCAGATCCTTGGCTTCTAGTCTGATTATCTGTGTTGCTCTACCTTGTTAAGAGCTGGATCCAGGAAGCCATTTACAGGACATAAGCAGCCCGCTGAACATACTAATTAGTTAAAATGCTATGTATTAACAATACTACAACAAACATGGCTATGACAAACGCTTCCATAATATACACCAGAGGTTCTCGAACTTTTGTGCTGGTGACCCCTTTCACATAGGAATCCTCTGCGTGCAATCCCCCCTTATAAATTAAAAACACGTTTTAATATATTTAACACCATTATAAATGTTGGAGGCAAAGCAGGATTTGGGGTGGAGACTGACAGCTCGCAATCCCCCATGTAATAATCTCACGACCCCCAGTTTGAGAACCTCGTTATACTCTTATCTACTCCCACGTCTCTGTATAGGGGGCATGGCAGGGATGTGTCCAAGGCAAGGTTGGCGTATACCGTGACTCCAGCTGATCCTTGGCTGTTCTGAGACCGAGGGCCATTTCGGCCTCAGTGATGCTAGGAGTGGTGTAGAAAGGTGGTTTACAGTAACCTCTCTACCCCATTTTGCTCCCGCTGCCCCATTTAACCCCCCCCTTCCACTCACCAACCGACACACACTTACTTTTCTTCTTAGCAGTGAGCTCAGCAAAACTGATGATTTGGCCACAGATGTTAAAAGCTAGATGTGTGCGAATAGATAGCCATGGTTGTGCTTTTCCTCTTGCTTCCTCCTGAGAGCCACCAGTGTTTGCTGTGGGGGGGTCTTATTTACATAAAGCAAAGCAGTGGCAATACAAGCCATTAGTAGCAAACCAGAAATCCCATGCTGGGGGGGGGGGAGCGCGTTTAGAATTTGGGAGTAGTGGTTTAAGGACCTGACATTATGGTGCTGTTATTCCTCTATGTTCCTTCTACAAATCTAAACGATGGGAACTAATGGCACCACAGCAGTAAGACACCATCAGTTCCTACTAATGGGCAAAGTGGAACACTATCACAATGCAATCTGACCTGCCTTAACACCCTTGAACGCAGTGGGAGGTTTGGGGATGCAAGGCATACAAGATAAGGCCTTTTTGTTACCTCTGAAGTCACTAAGGATGGAGACATTGCTGCACTGGAAGAGACCACTGGTCCAGCTGATCTAGTATCCTGTCTCCAGTTATGTTCTGTATAAAGCACATGGACATTTTTGCAGCAGTATCAAGGAGAGAAGAAAGAGTTCCCTTCTGAGCCCTCCACAAGCAATCAGCTTACCTCCTCTGGTAAGAAGCTTTTATTCATGCCCATAAAACAGGGTAATCCATCTCTGAACCTAGCTCACCATGGGCCTGATCTGAACCCCACTGATGTTAACAGGAATCGTACCACTGATTACACTGAGCTGGGGATCAGGCCCTGTTTGGTGTTCCTGTCCCAGTGGGTTCCACAGGTTACTTATATGGTTTTAAAGAAACGTATAAATGAATTTAAAATGGGATTGAGCCCTGGGGCCTGACAGCCTCTCGCTGCAGAAGAGGTACAGCATGAACAGCTGCAATGCAAGTTTCCTGGCCCTGCCACAACAATGCTCTTCGTTCTTGATCATCTCTAGGGACAAAAGGGTAGTCCTTTCTCCACATCTACCCCATGCTTTGGTTCTCTGCTGCCAGGACCAGCTAGCATCATGGTTTGTATGGCATCTTACCACTGAGAACAGGACTAAAATCACCCATGTGTTTCATCTAGACCAGAGTCATCATGTAGGATCAACATTTGGTCATTGTCAAACTGGGCCAGAGTTCAAGTAATCGAGAGAGAAATCCTGTTACCCATAAACTTTAGCAATCCGGTCCCCTCCCCCTTTCTTCCCTCCCTCTTTCTTCCCTGTTTACAGCGTATTGCATTTCTATTTCATTGACCATCCTTGCATTGTAGGACAGGGTAAACAGGAGCACTGAATGGCCTTGGTAACATTCCCTGGGCTCAGCTGGTGAAAACTGGTAGAACTCCACTGAAGTCAATGTAGTGATTACAATTTAAACTTGCTGAACACTGGGTCCGTTTATCGAATCACATGCAGCTCTTCAGAATGAGAAGGGTTAATGTAATTGTAAAGTAGGATGGGGATTCACATGGATGTGACTAAGTCCTTCTTTCAAACAGAATTAGGAAATAGACATTGAACAGAAAAATCTCAAGTGACAAATCTGACCTGCAGCCTGCAGATGGATTGCTGCTGTCCTTTCAAACAGTGTGAGGAATGTTTTTTCCATTACAATTAATTTAGCTTTTTCAAAGTCACTGTATCATATGGCAGGTAATCAAATGACCATGACAGCTAACCCTTACATGCCTGCTGTGAAGCTAAACATGAGCTGTGATGTTTGGCCCTAGAGCCACATTTCCAGCATCTGGGTTGGGCTCATCTCTAGTCAATTCTTTTCTTTTTCCCTACAAAACTCCAGGCCCTCTTCTACTAGTGTGGATTTCTGGAAGCTGCTCTCAGATTTGTTATATACTTATTCCAATGTACCACGTTCACTGTGGAATTGGCACTGTAAGAGAATAAACACCATGGACTGTGTCCTCTCTCTGCCTCCTCCCTCCTTTGAAGTACCAGGGCACATGAAAGCCACCGCTGCATGAGCTACATCCATCATACAGCACACACAAAAATCTTTAGCCTGCCTTTTGATAATGACCATAGACAACACTAGGACTCTTTCGTTGAGCCCTGGTGCAGCCTGGGGCTGTCTGGATCGTCTCTCATTTACAAGTAAACAAAATCATAAGTTGAGCTTGGCTGGCATCCAGTCTCCTTTCCCCACTTCCCACAGCTGCGTGCACCACCTCTGCTCCAATCAGAACTCAAAAGCCTCCATGTGCTGGAGCTGAGCTCGAGCCCTTAAATAGCTCTGTGATGAGGAAACAGCTGTTAAGGTCCATGGATCAGAGATGCTGCCATAAGCTCACCTGCCAGACCCCTTTCTCTCCTCCTGCTTTCACAGCAGTGGTACTCTTCACCAGAGGCATTTGATCCCTGTCGTTTTCATCTGGGAGCTGTATGCTCGATATCTCTGGCCAGCACGCGAACAGCACAGAGCATGGAGATTCTGGGAAGGTGTGAGTCCTTTTCCCTCTGGATAATTGTGTTGTCCTTTGGAAGGGTTCTCTCCGTGGATTTCTCTTACCTGGGATCCTCCCTGAGCCTGCAGTCCTCCTTCCAGGAGGACAACACAACACAGGTGGGTTTCTTCTCATTTAGTGCATTTTGCATCTTTTGTTACTAAACGGAAGCCCAGTGTGGGTTCCCTGGACTTTATACTATGATGTTACTATTTAACTGGCTGCCTAATCAAACCCTGTGTTTTGCTGGTACATAGAGCTTTAGGGTGGGATTTTCAAGAGCACCCAAAATGACTTAGGAGCTCAAGTTCCATTGAGATTTCATCCCCTTTGATACACATTGCTAGGGTCTGGATTTCAAAAGCCCCATCCGTAATTGTAATAGTTATGCAGCGAATACTGTGCTACAAAGTATGTAATGTCAGCTGATGTCTTCCATTCCCAGAGCACGGGTGGCAGGAGCAGGCTGCACACCTGCTAAGACTGCAGTTTTTAGGCAAATGATGCAATAGATTTAAAAGACCCAGCCCCTGGAAGACTAATTACAGAGCTGCATTGTGCTGCTCCCACAGCTCTGAAGTGTTTTGAGTCGGAAGAATGTAGCAACTACTTAGGAATCCAGACTCAAGAGTCTCCCAGCCCGTCTGGGCTGACCATATGAGGAAACTCAAGGAGAACCCTCTGCTCCTGGCGCCCAACCTCAGAGCACAGACTCGGCTGGGCTGGGGTACTGTCACCACAATGTAGTGCTGTGATGTAATGATGAGTGCGCCATGGCAGGGCTCAAATCCGCTTTGCCGAATTTTGCAGCTAGATCTAGAACTTAATCAAATTCTCCCAGCCCTAAAAAAGAGCATGTGGATTAGGTCCCATCTTCCCAAGGCTCTCTCACACAGTCCTGGCATGCCCCAATTTGTCTTTAGCCAGCTCTCGTTACTACAGGCTTCTTCTATTGAGCCAACGGAGTCTTTGTCTTCTTTATTTACCCATCAGTCTAGTTACCGATCCTAAAGGAGTCCCTCTGTTCCACTTCTACACCTTGTCTTATACTTGTGTACAGTGCCGTTTACAGGGGGAAAAAAAATGGGCTCACCTCAATCCTCCAGAATTTCACCCAGCTACACGCCCACATGTCACATAAGCCCCTAGAAAAAAACATCTGGGAACATTGAACAGGATGGAAACATTCCTGACTGATTTATATTTTCATGAGTGTTATTTTATTCTCTTCTTCCAGTCTGGAAGAGACACAGCCACCATCTTGACTGTGTTAAAGGGCTCACAAGAGCAGGAGGGGTCATTTTAAAGGAGAAAAGAGCTGAACACCAAAACTATTTAAGAGTTACAAGCTCTAGGCCAGATGTAAATGGGTCTCAGTGAAGCAAAGCCATTTTTCAACAGCTGAGCATCCAACCCTATGTTTTAAATAGTGCAGGGCTCTGTCACATCTCCTGCTGCAGTGGGTATATTAACTGATGCCTGTGCTTATGAAGCACAGAAACCAAGAGAAATCACATTATGCATGAAGCACCAGTGAATATACTGGACCAGGTCCTCAGCCTCGGTGCCCACTGGGCTTGTGGAGGGGATGGGGTAAGTGTGTGACCAGAGGGGATTATTCATAGTTGCAGGATGATTTTGCAGAACATGTATCAACCTTTCCAGTGCACATGGCATGACTTTAAAGCAGTGATCCCCAAACTTTTGAGGTTCTTGCCCCCCTCACCCTTCCCCATCCCCACCCCCCCGGAGCTGGGGCCAGGAATGGGGCCACAGCTTGGGGGGGATACAGACAGGAGCAATGGGGATGGGTCTGGGGTTGGCAGCTGGGCCTGCGGCCAGGTGTGGATCTGCTCCCGGCCTTTCCCCCAGCCTCAGCCCTGGGCCGGAAATGGAGCTGTGACCAGCGGCTGTGGCTGGGGGCTGGCACGGGGCCAGGAGCGGAGCCACACCAAGGCTGGGGACTGGGCCAGGCGCAGGGCTGGGAGCTGGAGGCGCGGCTGCGGGAGGGACTAGAGCAGAACTGGGGGTGGAGAAGGGCTGGGTGGTGTTCCTTCCCTGCTGTACCCCCGGCCCGATGTTCCTCCGTGCCCCCCTAGGGGGTGCGCCCCACACTTTGGGGCCTCTGCTTTAAAGATCTCATGAACATTTGACTGTATAGTGTGCGCCAGATCTCCAAAAGGTAGAAGCCCATTTGCATGGGCAATTGCATTTGCTACCACAAGTACCGGCGTGCACTGGGCACCAGCCCTTGCCAACAGCCAGGTGGGCATCTTGCAGGCCAAATGCCTGTGCGTTTGCCCCAGCTGCAACCAGTTATTGATATTTGCACATGCCAGTCTCTGCCCTCTGGCTTGGAAAATTCAGCCCTGAATCTACAACCTGCTGCTAGCCAAAATTCAGCTACATGGCAGCTATAGCAGATCTCTGAATTCATAGGCTAATTGCACATAGGGCAGGGATCCCACTCTGCAAACATTCCTCTGAGATTGGAAGCAAAGGAATGAAGTGCTGTAAGAGTCTCTCATGCTGCCAGGGGATGTGGTATTAATTGTTCACATGCCATTGTCAGGTACTTTTATATTACCGAGGGATTGCTTCTCCTTGTTCCAGTACCGAAGATGGGATTTGCAGGGCTATGAACTGCACTTCCAGGATCCCCGCTGCAGGTTTTCAGAACTCCACAGTCCCGTGCCAGCTAGAGGGAGAGGCGGCCATCTTCCCTGCTTCCCCAGGATCCTTCCCCATGAGGTAAGGTGGGTGGTGTTTGTTAACCTCTTCAGTGAATGTGGCCCTGGTGAAAAGTGCTTGGCTGACAGGCACAGAGCATGGAAGCTCCAGCTGCCTCACACACTGCCCCACTGGCATGCCTCAGCCAGACCTGCAGGCAACCCTTCGAGGGTTGGAAAAGCCAAATCCAGCCGTTCGCTTCTCTGCTCAGACTGCAAACAAGGGTGATGATTGTGGTGGGGAGGTGGGTTTGCGATGCTAGTCAGGAACAGCCTTTGCCTTCCTTGCAGAGAATGTGGGGGGAGATAGCCACATCAGAGCTATTTTTGGCGCAGCGAGCCTGAAGTATTGTCCCAAACTGATGTGTCAGTAGAAGAGGTTTTGGAACAAACTGATTAATTTAACAGTAATAAGTCACCAGGACCAGCTGGTATTCACCCAAGAGTTCTGAAAGAACTCAGATATGAAATTGCAGAACTACTAACTGTGGTATGTAACTTAAATCGGCCTCTGTACCAGACGATTGGAGGATAGCTAATGTACCACCAATTTTTTTTAAAAAAGGGTCCAAAGGAGATCTTGACAATTACAGGCCAGTAAGCCTAACTTTAGTATCAGGCAAATTGATTGAAACTATAGTACAGAACAGAATTATCAGACACATACTTGAACATGATATGTCGAGGGAAGAGTCAACGCGTCTTTTGAAAAGGGAAATCATGTCTCACCAATCTATTAGAATTCTTTGAGGGAGTCAAAAAGCACATGGATATGGGTGATCCAGTTGATATAGTGTATCTGGATTTTCAGAAAGCCTTTGAAAAGGTCCCTCATCAAAGACTCTTAAGGAAACTAGGTAGCCATGGGATAAGAGGGAAGGCCCTCTTAGGAATCAGTAACTGGTTGAAAGACAGGAAACAAAGGAAAGGAATAAATGGCGAGGTGAACAGCATGGTCCCCCAAGAATCTGTGCTGTTCAAAATATTAATTAATGATCTGGAAAAGGGGGTCAATGGTGAAGTGGCAAAGCTTGCAGACGATGCAAAGTTATTCAAGATAGTGAAGTTCAAAGCAGACTGAGTTACAGAGGGATCTCATACAACTGGGCTACCAGGCTACAACATAGCAGATGAAATTCAACACTGAAAAGCGCAAAGTAATGCACATTGGAAAAAATAATTCCAATTATACATATACAATGATGGGTTCTAAATTAGCTGTTATCACCCAAGAAAGATCTTGGGATCACTGTAGATCAGTGGTGGGCAGTGCAGCCCATCAAGGAAATCTGCTGGCGGGCTGTGAGACAATATTTACATTGATCGTCTGCAGGCACGGCTGCCCGCAGCTCCCAGTGGCCATGGTTCGCCGTTCCTGGCCAATGGGAGCTGCGGGCGGCCATGCCTGTGCACTGTCAATGTAAATACTGTCTCACGGCCCACCAGCAGATCACCCCGATGGGCCGCAGGTTACCCACCACTGCTGTAGATAGTTCTCTGAAAACTTCCACTCAATGCATAGCATCAGTAGTAAAAAAGGCAAACAGTTTGGCAGGAACTATTAGAAGGGGGTAGAAAATACTATATAAATCCATGGTGCCCAAAGCCCACACCTTGAATACTGTGTTTTGAGCCCCACCTCAAAAGGATATAGTGGAACTAGAAAAGGTTCAGTGAAGGGCAACAAAGATGATGAAGGGTATAGTACCGCTCCCTCAGTCTCTCCTGTTGAAGCCATTCCACTTTGAATAAATAATGTAAACAGTCATTGGAGCAGGGGACTGGATTGTGCATCTCCCATGCTGCAGGTGAGTGCTCTGATCAGCAGGCTACAGAGTCCTTCTCAAGCTTGCTCTCTCTCTCTCTCTGTGTGGTCCAATCATTCTGTCACTCAGTGGAAAAGCTTCAACAGTCGAGGGAGGCTATATCAGAATACCTCAGAGGTTAGAGCACCCGCCTGAGAGGCGGGAGACTTTTTGTTCAAATCCCTTCTCCCCCTCAGGTGGAGGGGGGACTTGAACTAGGGGTCTCTCACATCCTAAGTGAGTACCCTAACCACTGGGCTAAAAGTTACAAGGGAGGGCCTCCCCTGGGCCCACTGCACCTGTCTGGCTTCTTGCAAAAACAGGCCCCTATCTCCAAGTGAGGGTTTGCAGCTGAGAATCCCAAGTAAAGGGAGGTGCCTCCTGGCAGTCAGGACTTAGGTACCTCTCTCTGTGAGAGGGACAGGGCTTAGCACTCTTCCCATAAGGGTTATCTTAGGTTATCTAAGGGTTATCTTAGGCAAGGAGCACCCTAGCATGCTGGCTTTTATCAATCCCATTCTATCAGTCCCCTGTCATTGCATAGGGAGCCTGGGCACCTAACCCCCTTTGTGAATCCCAGTGATTTTCCAGGGGCCTAAAAGTTTGGCATGGTGACGCTGAGCATCACCACACCTCAGTGTCTTTATGAGTCTAGCCCCTCTCCATTCCTCAGTTCCTCACCAGTTAAATGGAAGTGATAATACTCCCTTTCTCCCACCATCCATCTTGCCTATTTAAACGGTAAGCCCTTCTCCTACTAGGTTCATGTACAGAGCCAAGCACAACTGGGCTCTGATCTCAGCTGGGGCCTGGAGGTGCTATTGTAATACAAACAGCAGTGCACAGCATTCTACTACAGTGATATCAAGCACTATGCCTCCTCCCTCCTTCCCCAAACTACCTTCTTCTGGTGCATCAGGCACTGCTCCCCAGTCTCAGAATGGCAAATCCTATATCCCCGGAGACACCGAATTGCGGCACAGTGACCACAAGGCAACAAAGGTCACTACTGCACCATTCACTTACAGGGTCTCTTGGACAACTGACAATATGATCCGCCCATGGGATTCCCATGAAACTCTGCCACTCTACTCCCACAGAGTGACAGCTAACTGCAGCCACAAGGGGCATTATACTGATTAGCTGTTCCAAGGCAGGCCCATTGTCATTTGCATATTTGTCCCAAGGCATGATGGGTACTGTTGGCTGTTCAGATTCACTGTGTTTCTTGTCCTGACTTTTTATTTTAGCTACTCTGGAAGGGTTTGGCACTTGGACCACCTCTGTTTAACATCGCTCGTATTTGAAGTAAAGTTTAAGTCAAGGTCCCTAGTAACTATCTTAATGAGGACTAGCTGAAGCAGACAGCTTCTCTGGAAATTGGTGTGAGGGACTCTCAGGCAGGGATTAATGCCAAATGTGTATCACTTCCTCTCAGTACAACTGTGTGGCAGGATTAAAGAGCGAGGTGGGGTGATTTGCATGTAACAGGGGTTCCGACAGCACGGGCCAGATCCTCCACTGGTTTCAGTCATCCTGCCTCTGCTAAAGTCAGTGGAGCTGCACAGACTTACAGCAACTGGGGAGCTAGGCCTAGGCTTCTCTCTACCCCCTCCCCTTCGGTCATCTTCAAATCAGGAGTTGGTACCTTCCTGGAAGATGGGCTTTAGCCAAATAAGTGACTGCGTTCAGTACAGGAGGGGCAGGGTGAAGTTCTCTGGCCTGCGTTGCACAGAAGGCCAGACTAGGCGGACTGATAGTCCTTTCTGGCCTTAGAATCTATGAGAAATACAGAAGCAACAAAAAAAATGTACCTTGGAAGGATATCGTTGACTATTGCTCTAATCCTGGGTGACATCTTAGCATTCTCATCTCCACACCCCAGACTCCCAGCTGCTTTCCAAATGTCCAAGACCAAAATTAACCATTTCCAGTTCAGAATCACCTGCTCTCTCCAATCCAGTGTCAGAGCACTTGCTCCCCTCTGCCCCCCAGGAAACACCCTGAAAGGCTCCTAACGCCGGACAAATCTAAATGGCTAACTAACTGCCTCCAGCCCCCAGACAGGGGTTTCCAGATCCTCAGTGTTAAAGGAGTGAGAGACACCCAACACATCAGTGCTCAAGTGGTGGTCAACAGCCACTTTGCCAGTGCCCTAGCAGTACAAGGGTCCAGCGTCTGCAAGTCACTATTGACCAACGGCATGCCGGGACCCACATGAAGCAAGCTCATGATCTCAGGCCAGGCCTTCAGCGATATTGCCCTCGCGTCAAGGAGCCCCAGCCCCACTACCACAGCTGGCTCTAACGAGCAGCCTTAGCTCGGATGCCAAGAATCAGCAAGAATCTAGAGACTGAACCAGCCACCCAGGGAAGCGATGGGCCGCAGGCAAGGGATACAGTGAGGGAGAACTGGAGACAGCATAGCTCCCCCTCCACTCCCTGGCTTGGGTCCCCAGCACACCCCCCCACGCTCCCACCCACCCCTGCTTCTTTGGGTGTGGCCAAGGGCACTCCCTCTCCTGCTCCAACCTCCTTAGGCACCGCTGGGACTCGATGACAGGGTACCACTGGGAGATGCTTGCCCTGCTGTTGCCTGTTCTGGGACTCAGCAGACATCCTCCTCCAGAGCTGGCCTCTTTCACCAGCAATAATAATAATAATGTAAAGCTATTATATGATAAGGCTACTCTAAAGCAATAACGCAGACAGACTCCCTAGCTAATTGATAGCAGACGATGCTAAATAAAGAAATAAAATTATAAAAAATGATCCTCCTCTAAATAGATATCGCCTCTAATACGGATGAAGTCTAAGTAATGGCCATTTAATAGCCTTGGGCCCAAAGCACTTCCTGGTGGCTAATGGCCGCCTGGAAGTCAGGATAGCTTGAAATGAAACAAAGTACCACTCAGCCCATCACATATTAATTCCCCAGGAAATGTCTTGCGCTGAGACCAGTATTTCTAATGCAGTTATGTGCTAGGGGACCTGATGCTGTGAAGTGCTAAGCACTCCATGCAAAGTGCTGGGTTCCCAACCCCCAGTGAGGGTTGCGGGCTCTTAGGCCCAGATTTTTAAAAGGTATTTGGACATTTCTCCATTCAGCGTTGCACGGCGTAAGGTCCAGATCCTCGGACCTAAGAGACTTAGATGGCAAAGTCCAATTTTTCAAAAGCAGAGCAAAGCCTAAATACCTTTAAATATCTGGGCCTTAGCAGCTTGCAGGATCAGGCCCTAGTAACGTAGGAAGAAAATGGGCATAGCTGAGTATTTTTAAAGTAGCACTGAACTGAGCGCTCAGCTGATTTTAATCCTCTCTCTAGGGAACTCAAATAACAAAACAAAAACATCACATCCCTTTTCATTTGTCAAAAGATCCCTAGTTTCTTTTCCCTTCATTTACAATGAAGCTGAAATTAACATAGCCAATCTGTTGTGGAGCCAGCATATGCCGCAGCCATCTCACCTCAAAACAACTTAGTTTGTACCCCATCCTGTTAACTTCTGCTGTTCCCAGAACTGCCCTGTTAGTTCACTGCTGCTGAAGAGGCCGCAGAGAAAGATGGGTTTTTGTAGGACCCATCACAAAAGCAGCTCGCACCATCTCAGCAGTGAGACATGGGAATGCAATAAGAAAAGAAACTATAGTGAATCTGGAGAACTCACTGCACTCAAACAATATTAAAGTAGGTCAAATCTCCTTTTCAAAGGAAGGGTCAAATTTTGCACATATTTTAACCCACTGAAGTCAGTAGGGTTGTAGAGAATTTGCCCTAACAGGAAATGGAAACATCGTTGAACTAGATTTTACATTGGTTTTCTCGAATCTAGACAGCTTTTCTAGGGGTTCAATGATGATGATGAGGAGTTTGGACACAGTAGTAGCTGGAAAAAAATCACTTCTCAGGAATGGCCAAGTCAAACTCTTGTTTGATTTACAGCTAATCATGCAGATGCTTTCAAATATTCCCTCTTGTGCATTCCCGTGTGTTCCTCTAGACTCTCCAGCTGCTGCTGGTCCCAGACTGTGCTCCCTCCCAATGAGGATAACAACTCCAGTGTCCAGTTTGAGATGGTGATGACTTATACCCTGGGTGCTCGCTCTGATACAGGATCGACAAACACCTCTCCGCAGACGCCGCTGCCGCCTCCTCTCAGGTAACTCCCTTCCATTCAGTACACAGCATGTCAGCTACAAGAGGTAATAAGAAGAGCAGAGTCCAGCTAATGAATGCTGTACTCAGCTGTGCCCTGTGACAGAAAAGGCAGTTTCCTGCCATATCCCTGGAAATAACTTATGGAATTAAGTTGAGGCCTCTTTGGGGTCCATTGTACTAAAAGCAAAGTTTATGTATCATTATGGGCCAGGACTGCATGTAAGCTCTCTAGGCAGGTGATGGGATATAAGGCCTGGATGTTCAAGGACTGTATTGAACAGTGTGCCAGGCACAAGTGGACTTTTGGGATAATGCGTGTGAAATGGATTTTCTACAAAATATCTAGGGTGAGGTTAATGCAGTCCCCCACCTTCTGTTATGGAAAATTCAGTCTTTTGAAGCTATGCCCTGAGGTGTGGGCCTTTGTCTGCTGATCCCGTTACATCAAGCCAAGATCAGAGGCCCAAGCTGTATAAAGGAAAATCATGGATAGTTCAGCCTGTTCTGTTCTGAATCTGAGACAGTTATGAACTTGTACCACAGCAAAAACTCAGCTGTGGGTATCGAAGGACTGATATGTTCCCAAGCCCAAGGTTGGAGTTGGGGTGATCTCTGGTAAGCTTTTTTGGCATCCATATTTATTGTTTTTAGTATGTTTTCTCTGTATGCTTTCACCTTAAGAATAAATATGCTTGCTTAGAAAGAGCTGTGTGGTTATTCAGAACTACTGGCAACTACACTGTTCATAGCCATTGAAGAGAAACCAAAGCACAGACACTGGTCTACTCAGGCAGCCTGACTTGCTGGGGATACCAGTGTAGGCAGAGAACTGTGTAGCCCAGAAAACCCTCAGTCAAGAGGGGAGAGGCAAGTCTCTGCCCAAGAGAGATGACAGCTGAGGAGCAGGGAGCCTGGAGTGGGTGCCTTTGGTAGACCATGGAGGGGGAATACAGGTGCAGTTGCCCTGAACTGTGACACGCCCCTTCCTATAAACACACAGTAGGGTTAGAAATTCTGATCTCAGCACAGGACACTGGCAGCAGCATTAATCATGACAAGCTGCCAATACTCCACAAAGCTCTCACATTTGTGTAGTAGCATTAGGGTGCGTATCCTCTGTAGGCTGAAGCACTAGTGGCAAGATTTCACACATATGCGCACACACACGGTAGATATGTCAGCACTGGAGAATAGGGAGCAGTATTTAGCCAGTAGAGGGAGACGTGACATACCTGATCAAATCTGATATTTCACCCCATAGAAGGCACCAGTGCTCATAGTAAGGCAGGGTGGCCTAGTCAATAGAGCACTGGACGGGTACTCAGGAGACCTGGGTTCTATTTCCAGCTCTGTCACTAGCCTGCTGCATGACCTTGAGCAAGTCACTTCACCTCCCTGTGCCTCGGTTTTCCCAACTGTAAAATGAAGGCAGACAGGCTGGCACATAAACCTAGAATGTTGATAGCTCATATTCATATAATACTTTCCATTTCAAAGGATCCCAAAGAGCTTTACTAAGTTTTTCTATAAACTATACACAGAGCTATCATGCCAGTCACCCTGAAATGCAGCCACTTCTGGGGGAGGGAGTTGAAGTGACAAGTATTTAACAGTGCACATCAACATCACACATTCAAGCACACGTAACTACAGCTAGTCAGATAACGGGGACCATTTTTGAAAAAGGGTCATTGAAAGCGTTCACTTTCAAAAAACCAAACCCAAAAACCCAACACAAGCAGCCATGCAAGAAAGAAAGGGCTCAATGGAGAACTAAATACAAAATCAGCTAGAGAGAGTTCTTCAAAACCATGGTGTTTGTTTTCACAGAGTTCCCCAAAACTGTGCTACATTCTATAATCTGAGCGTCTCAGACCAAGATGGGGATGTAGTGAGGTGCCGATATGGGCGTCGAGAGGAGCTTGCCTGTGCTTTCTGCAAGAAGTACCCTTTTCTGCATTTGGATGAGGCAAGTATGTAGGTCCTGTGCTCTCACACCCAGCAGCAGAAGCAACCAGGCAATAGCGGAACCAGTTACGTCATATACTTATAACAGAATTTGCAGTGGTCAGTAGTGAGATGTCATTACAGCCTTACACAAATGCAGCTGAAACCTTGTTTAACCAGTAGTAAAAGCCCACAGTAGTTAGTAATAGGCAAGCAACAAAAACCACAGAGGTTTGTCTCAGCTTAGACAATATAAATGGTCAACTCCAACTCCTCTTACTAACAGACAAGCCGTCCATCTTGAGAGGAGTCAAGAATGTGCAGGGTGAGCAGGATTTACCTGAAGTTTGAATACTCATTGTAACAAGTTCCCTTACCTTCGTTCATTGCTACCTCAGTTTCCCTCTGCCAGCACCTTGGGTTGTCTTATAGGCTGCTATCTTCAGTGCACTTGGAGCAGGGAGGTGACCTAGCTAAGTCACAAAGTCCACCCCATCTGAGATGGGGCAAGAAGTCCACCAAAAAGCAATCTTCTGCCCAGCCTCTTGCTGTTCCCCAGACCTTCCCAGTCCTGTTGACTCAGGACAGGACGAAAAAGGGCTTCTTCCCACCAATACAGGAAACCCCAGCCTAGGCCACTACCTACAGGCATCCACTCAGGCCTCAACCCCACACTGCATAATACTGCCCCTATCTCTTCCTCCAGCCCCCTGGGTCCTTCTGAAATCAGCCTGGAAGACGCTCCCAGCCATTTCCCAGGCTTCCTGCAGTGCTGCTAACTCTCACAGTATTTGGTGGTTTTTCAGAAGCCCCAGCCCCCTGGAATCATGTGATTAGGGGAGACTCTCAGTTTTCATTTTTTTTTTTTTTTTTTAAAAAGGGTAAATTTCTAGCCTTCGTAGCTGTGCAGAAGCGCTCGGCAATGTGAAGGAAGCACCCTGCAGGCTCACAAGCCAGAAGGGAAATTAACAACACCCCAGAATTATAACTTTTAAACCAATCTCAGGCTTTTTGAATGTTTGGGGTTAGCAATACTGCCTAGACTCTATTGCAAGCCCCACCACTGACCCTACTTCACCCCTACACATACTGAGGGTGAAAGGAAGGCATCTGCTTTTATAGCAGGCCCTGCCTCTAGCCTGCAGTCACATGACCCCAGTCCATGAGCCTGCTCAATCAACTTGCTCGCTTTGAACAGTGGCATCACCTGGGGACTCCATGCCAAGTCCCATGAGAAAACCAAACACTAGTGGAGCTCCTGCTCTTAAAAGGCCAGTTCCTGCTGTCACACTTAGCCAAAACATTATCATTACTGCCTTAGGCACAGTAGCACTGAAAGGCCTCAGCCTATGTCAGGGCCCCATGCTGCTGGGTGCTGTACACACACAGAGTAAGAGACAGCCCCTGCTCCAAAGTGTGTGATCTAAATAGACAACCCAGGCAAAGGAAGCCTTGTCATCATCCCTGTTTTACACCTGGGGAGCTGAGGTGCCGAGAGATTAAGGGCCAGGTTTTTAGAGGTGTTTAGGTGCCCAGTGGTGCCGATAGGTGGGATTTTCAAAATGCTCAGCAGTGGAGTGCCATGACATTTCAGGAAGGCATGCAATGCTACATTTGCATGCCCTAGCAGGGGTGCTGGAACCATTTGTGTAGTGGGGGAGCTGAGAGCCATTGAACCAAACTGTAAACCCTGTATATAATGGAAACTACTTCAAGCCACAGGGTGCAGCAGCACCCCCCCACACACACACCCCTAGTTCCAGCATCTACATGCTTTATTGGGAGTCCAAAATAGCGTTCTCCATGCGCTACGACCTCACATGAATGGTGCATGGGATGGGAAGTCATGCTGAGCAGAGGACACCATTTTGTTCTACAATGCACTTTGGGGGGCCAGACAGGATTGTCCTCAGGGCTGCCAGTTGGACCCCGTTTTTGGGGAAATGTAGGGCATGCCCTGCACACAGAGACGGCACACAACCACTGCCGAGTCACTTGAAATCACTGTTGAAAACCTTACTAGGCATCCGTCTACAACTTTAGATGACTAAGTACTTTTGACAAATCTGGCTCTAAGAGACTTGTCCAAGGTCATTCTGGGAGTCCGGTGACAGAACCAGGAATTGAACCCCAATTTTGTGGGTCCTACCACAGTGCCTTAACCATACTCAGTTCTCCTGGGTCCTTCCTTAACTTTGTTTAAATCTCAAAAGAGGCTTGGTTTGAGATTTCAGAGCAGATCCCGTTTAGTTTTCTTTCTGAGCCTGTTCACTCCTTCTAACAGCAATAGGTATTGTTCCTGTTGGAACACACCAAGTGCATGTTGGTCTTCTCCATCTCTCAGCTGGATGAGTCCATGTTCTGAACAGAGACAACATCTCAATGTGGCAGCTCATTTGGCAAGTCTAAGAGGCATCCCTGTAAACATCTGGAGAGCAGAAATATGTCCCAGAGATCTCCATGCCAATTCTGGCAAAATGTGGCGAAAATGTAAAGCTGGAACTGGGGAAGATTTTCTTGGTATCTTCATTCAAGTGACAAGTACCAAGCAGAAGCAGGTGGCTGTGCCTTCCTACCTACAACACGTGCAGTACCTACTACAACAAGGCCCTGATCTTGACGGGGGCCTTTGAGTGTTTTTGCAAAACAAAAATAAAAATAAAAACAAAAAATACAATAATAAACTGATAACCTAATATTTTAGTTTTTTATCTACATGCACATTTTAAAATGCTATTTTAATTGCAGTTCTCAGGCAGTTAAATATTTGATAGTAATATGATTAAAAAAAGAAAGCCCATCAGGAAATAGCACTAGCCTTTTAATATACTCAATAAAAAGTAGTCAAGTCCTTTGCTTAGGAGATCCTGCCTGAGGCGCTCCTATTATTATTATTATTATTATTATTAATTTTTTATTACAGTGCACCAAATAGCCCCAGCCATGGAACAGGACCCTATTGTGATAGGCCCTGTACAAATAGAACACAAAGATTCTTCCCACCCCAAAGCATTTACTCTAATGCCAGCTGCACAGCACCCAACATCTAACCACTCCATCAGGTTCTCACCTGTCCGAATTCACACTGGGAGCCTTGTTTTTGGGCCTCCTGCTCTAGTCCGCATGTCTTTGAATTGGGCTCCATTGCAGAGCTGAACACAAGGTGCTGAAGCCACAGTGCTCCTGCTCCAATCCATCGTGTAGATTGCGAAATATGGGTTTGAGACAGTGAGCTGAGATTGGCATCGAAGGATAAAATTGAGGCCCTGTAACCTGCACAGCTTCTGACTGATCTTTCTTTTGGCTTCAGGATGGATGCACCCTTATGTACGATGGAATGGGCTCCGAAGGCACCTACCCGGTGGAGCTGATGGTGGAGGATTTCCCCAGGAAAACGGTGGTCCTGAAATTTGAGGATGGGATGCATGAGATTCATTCATACAGTGCTTCAGGACAGGGCTGGAATGAAGCCCTAAGTTCTGTCCCACTTCAGTTCACCTTAACAGGTAACAGTGCCCGTCCCAAGTATGTGCACTATAAGGACTGAAGTGTCAGCCCAGGGAACTTCTTCCCCAATTAACTTCCATGACTTATCAAAATTGTGAAAAAAATAAATATTTATACGCCATTCCTGTGTCTATCTATTGGGAATTTTCTCAGACAAACATTGACTTATTGGGAAATCTTATACGGAAGCAGAATTTGTCTCCCTAACGATTGGTTCCTTCTGCCTACCTCACAATGTGATGTCACACCTTCTTTGTATGACATCAGAACTATTAGCAGAGCTGTGGTATCAAATTTTACATTCATGGTATCTTAGTTATTGTAGTAATCGGTTATGATGTCATCACCTTCTACCTATGACATTATATGTTATTATTAACACCTGATGGTGCATTGTCACAGGTTTGCCCACTTCAGTTTTCTAAACAAGAGGAGAAAATGTATATGTGTATGTGTGGGGAGTGGGGGGAATCAAAATGTGCCATTCATCCCACAAACTAGTTTAATGATTGGAGGAACAAACATCAAATCAGTTACTGGATCTTCAGGAGATCAACTGTGTACTAAAATAACTGAAATAGAAATAAAACTATTTCTGTTATAACTTGGAGCAATAGCTCAGCATTCCTGTCAGCCTATATCCTCTGTCAGAGGTATCCTCTGGTGTTCATCCTGAATTATATTCAGATGAGCCAGGATGCCCATCAGGATGGAGAATGAAAGTAGGACACTGGAGATGGCTGTATTACTGTAGGTAGGGGGTCCCAGGTCCTCAAAGGCATTTAGGTGCCTAACTCCCATGATATAAAAAAAAAAGGAGGACTTGTGGCACCTTAGAGACTAACAAATGTATTTGAGCATAAGCTCTTGTGAGCTACAGCTCACTTCATCGGATGCATTCAGTGGAAAATACAGTGGGGAGATTTATATACACAGAGAACATGAAACAATGGGTGTTACCATACACACTGTAACAAGAGAAAAGGAGTACTTGTGGCACCTTAGAGACTAACCAATTTATTTGAGCATAAGCTTTCGTGAGCTATAGCTCAGAGTGATCACTTAAGGTGAGCTATTACCAGCAGGAGAGCGGGGGAGAAAATACCTTTTGTAGTGGTAATCAAGGTGGGCCATTTCCAGCAGTTGACAAGAACGCTGAGGAACAGTGGGGGAGGAAATAAACATGCGGAAATAGTTTTACTTTGTGTAATGACACATCCACTCCCAATCTTTATTCAAGCCTAAGTTAATTGTATTCAGTTTGCAAATTAATTCCAATTCAGCAGTCTCTCGGAGTCTGTTTTTGAAGTTTTTTTGTTGAAGAATTGCCACTTTTAGGTCTGTAATCGAGTGACCAAAGAGATTGAAGTGTTCTCCGACTGGTTTTTGAATGTTTTTATTCTTGACGTCTGATTTGTGTCCATTTATTCTTTTACGTAGAGACTGTCCAGTTTGGCCAATGTACATGGCAGAGGGGCATTGCTGGCACATGATGGCATATATCACATTGGTGGATGTGCAGGTGAACGAGCCTCTGATAGTGTGGCTGATGTGATTAGGCCCTATGATGGTGTCCCCTGAATAGATATGTAGACACAGTTGGCAACGGGCTTTGTTGCAAGGATAGGTTCCTGGGTTAGTGGTTCTGTTGTGTGGTGTGTGGTTGCTGGTGAGTATTTGCTTCAGGCTGGGGGGCTGTCTGTAAGCAAGGACTGGCCTGTCTCCCAAGATCTGTGAGAGTGATGAGTCGTCCTTCAGGATAGCTTGTAGATCCTTGATGATGCGTTGGAGAGGTTTTAGTTGGGGGCTGAAGGTGATGGCTAGTGGCGTTCTGTTATTTTCTTTGTTGGGCCTGTCCTGTAGTAGCTGACTTCTGGGTACTCTTCTGGCTCTGTCAATCTGTTTCTTCACTTCAGCAGGTGGGTATTGTAGTTGTAAGAACGCTTGATAGAGATCTTGTAGGTGTTTGTCTCTGTCTGAGGGGTTGGAGCAAATGCGGTTGTAACGTAGAGCTTGACTGTAGACAATGGATCATGTGGTGTGGTCTGGATGAAAGCTGGAGGCACATAGGTAAGCATAGCGGTCAGTAGGTTTCCGGTATAGGGTGGCGTTTATGTGACCATCGCTTATTAGCACCGTAGTGTCCAGGAAGTGGATCTCTTGTGTGGACTGGTCCAGGCTGAGGTTGATGGTGGGATGGAAATTGTTGAAATCATGGTGGAATTCCTCCAGGGCTTCTTTTCCATGGGTCCCCCCCGCTGTTCCTCAGACGGTTCTTGTCAACTGCTGGAAATGGCCCACCTTGATTATCACTACAAAAGGTATTCCCCCCCCCGCTCTCCTGCTGGTAATAGCTCACCTTACCTGATCACTCTCATTACAGTGTGTATGGTAACACCCATTGTTTCATGTTCTCTGTGTATATAAATCTCCCCACTGTATTTTCCACTGAATGCATCCGATGAAGTGAGCTGTAGCTCACAAAAGCTTATGCTCAAATACATTTGTTAGTCTCTAAGGTGCCACAAGTCCTCCTTTTCTTTTTGCAGATACAGATTAACATGGCTGCTACTCTGACAGCTCCCATGATATAGTAAGGGAATATACCTTTGAGGATGGGGGTTGGGAAGACGTAGATGTCCTCCTCTATAAGCCATCACAGGTATTATTGGGATGTGTGTGTGTAGGGAAGGGGATAAAAAGGGTCTCAGTAGACGAAAGGAACTGGCTTTAAGACAACATGCTCCTGTTTTGTTTCCCAGTGGAGAAGCCAGTAGATGACTGTGCCTTTGGAATTAGAAGGCCAATATTTATCAGCCCAACCCCAAGCGATGGGGACAGGATCAGCGTGCTGCCCTATGAGGACGTTTCCTTCACAGTGATGGCTGTCAGCGCAGGAGAAAGGTGACTGAAATGGAAGAGAGGCCGCACAGTTAAACTGAACCCCACAACAGGACCAAGGCCTACCAAGCCCAGAGAACACAATGCCAGCCCTTGCAGGCTTCATCATTGCTAACATGATGCGCGTTCAGAGCTTGATCCTGCAAGGCACTGAGTGTCCTTAAGTCCCACTGGCTCAGCAGACACCAGAACCTTACAGGATCTGCAGCCACAATCAGCAAACCAGTGTGTGTGTGGCAGGTCTGCACCAGAATTTCGTGTTGTGAGTTAACGCATGTTAAAGCATGGCTCAGACTGGGGAAAACTGCACTGCAGCCACCTGTTCTGTGGGTAGTAGAGGAGGACTTCATTCTCCAAGGCGAGCGACTTGGTACCTTCCACAGCACCAGTTGTTCTGCAATGAGAGGATAAATAAATGTCATGCACTTATGCGCCAACTTGATTTCTGGTTTGTAATGCCTGTAGGACAACATGCAGTATCAGTTCAATATCTGATGTCTACTTAATACAGGGACTATATTGTGCCCTGGCCGACAATTTAGAAGGGTGATCTAATTGGTCTTTTCCTTCTCTAACCATTACTGATCCAATACACTGACAATAAATTGATCACCTTTGTATTTCCTATCTGTTGAGCATAGACAGACATTATGCAACTGTAGGGCCTGATCCAAAGCCCATTGGTCAATGGGAGTCTCTCCACTGACTTCAGGGGGCTTTAGATCAGGCCCTAAATTTCCTGGGTACGTTTCTTGTGGCGTGTGGCCCAGACTATTAGTTCTTCATCAGGCCCGTTAGTAACACGCTGTTAGAGCTCTCTCTTTCTTGTTCTGCATCTGCTGTGGCAGCAATTGGATTGCATATAACGGCATGTCTTACCCTGGGGGATTATAGGTGCTGTGTGGGCAGAGCTGGGGCAGTGGATCAGCCAGCGTTGACTGCAGTGGAAGCTCCCATTCTTTTTTTATTCCTTTCTGCAGAGGAGTGTTGGGTTCTGTAACTTTGCTCTGAATGTCTTGGAAAGGCCGCTCAAAATTATATTCTCTAGCACTTATTGAAAAGCAAACCATACCTTACCCAGTGCCTGGGCTGCAAGATAAACTAGGCACACCTGGTATTTTATGCCCATGATAGTGACCTGTAGGATATCGGCAGTACCAATGCAGACAGGTCTTGCACAGCATTATTCATGACCCTGCACAGAAGGTACAGGTGTGCAGCTGAATTAATAAATCCAGCCTGATGGCAATCAATACTGCATCTATGTCATTATCTGCTGCGCTGACATGATCTGCCCTCTCAGCTCAGTGCCAGGCTCACATTTGGATGATCCTCAGGGCTTGAAACGCAACCCCTTGATCTTTTCCTGCAGGATGGCGGACTTGCAGGTTCTGGGTCCTTATGGGCTGCACACATTGGGTCCGTGGATGGCAGACGATCTCTGCACTGTGTCTGTGAATATCACCTGGGAGAGCACGAACCCTGTGAGATTGCGCCAGGTTCCTGTATGTTTTGTGGCCAGCACATTGTCTGGGTGAGAACTGTCAAAGGCCATTGTGAGCACAGCTGTTCTGCATTAATTTCAGGGTAACTAGGGTGGCTTAAGGTCTGACCTGCTCTGCTTGGCATGTGACTTTATCCTCTTTGCTTCTTCTTTGGTGTCTAGATTACAGTCTGAGCTCAGATGCATTTGGATTGTGCAGAGTGAGTATCTGAGAAGGGTTGTTTTCTGTCATCTCTCATATTTTCCCGTTAGTCTGTGTGATAATTGCAAATCCCTCGTCATTAGGGCAGCAGTCTGGGTCAGTTCTACATGCAGAAATGCAGATTTCACAGGAAGCACGGTATATCCTGAGCTTTCTGCAGCTTGAGCCCATTTCAATCATAAGACACTGCTGGATGTTCAGTGTGATGTTACATTGCAGGGATGAATAGGAGCTTTCTCCCCTGGGTCAGTGTAAAATCACATTGCTTAGCTCCAGGTGACTTGTCGCTCCAGTGAACTCCTTTCCCCTAGTGCCCTCACCACCTCATTGCTGGTTGCACGTTTGTCTAGGACAGCAGGAGATCTGTAAAACCTTCAAGCTGATTCACCATAAAACTAGGAACTCATCAAACAAACTAAACTGCTGACCTGGCCCCTTACCCACAAGGGTTGTGAGTGAGTGACTAGCCCAGATATGCTGGCTCTAGGTTTTGTGCACAGAAAGAGGTGTGGGTGGCAGGCAGGCAGGCAGACATATGTAACCCACGGGAGAGGGCGTATTTAGCAGTTTAGCTGGGTAGGTCAGGGTTGGGGGGGGCTTGCCATTAAGGCGACGCATGCAGGCTAACTGTGTCAGCGGGAGGGGGCGGGGGAGTGTCAGCGGGGCTGGGTACATGTTATTATAGGGCACTGGGGTAGGGAAGCCAAGGCTTCTGTCACTGGCTGAACGTTTGAAAGGTGGGCATAAGAAAAGCGTAGGCAGTTGACTTCATGGCTAGTGAGCCTGCCCTCCTCTTCCCTGTGGTTCTGGAGAGTGGGACTTAATGCAGCAGCAGCCATAGCACATGGCAAGGGCCAGCTGTGTCTGCAACCCCCCCGCTCACCAACTGAGTTTAATATTAATTGCAAATGAATACCTATTGCATACTATTGCCAAAGGGGATTCTTTAATAGGTTTTTCATCTTCCTCTCTCTTGCAGAAGCTGCTGATTACCCACAGGGCACAGGTAAATAAAAGTAGCATTTAACACGCTAGGAATTAGTAGAGAGAAGTTTACTTGCAACCCCTAACACTTTGCTTCTGCATTTCATCTTTTATTAATCAAGTATGGCATTGATGTAGAGGTTTTTGTGGTGCAAGAGCGCCAGCTTGTGGGGTGTTTGAAAAATCCCAGTCTGCCTTTCCTATAGATGCTCCAGGCCACAGACAGCTGCTTTGTCTATTTAAAAGTAGTAATCCAAAATCAGAGGTTTCACCTTTCTCTCATGTTTGCAGAAAGCTCAGATTTTGCTAGATTGTGCCCAGCCCTGTGTTGATCTGCAAGGAAGGAAGGAAGACGGTGCAGGAAACCTCCCCCCATTGCATCCCGAGGAAAGGGGCTGAGCACAATCCATTGAGGGAATAGAGTTGCTGGTACATGGTATTGGTTTCAGTCCCACTAGGCTTTCTGGGAAGAGGCCACCTACCACAACAGTGCTGGGGGAAAGGCAGAACTGCCAGGATACAAGACTAGAGGGCCCGCTGCTGATTCAATATGGCTATTCCTATTTTACGTTCTGTTCCCAAGGAAGAAGATCACTAGCCCATCCCCAGGACAAAGTGTAATAGCCCAAACCTCCAAGCACCTTCATACAGCTGCCATTAAAAAAAAAAAAAAAAAAAAAACCCAGCAGAGAAATATTTCTTCCTTTCCTGAAAATGTGGAATGTCTCCAAAAACGACACTGGGCCGAGGTTAGCCAGTCCTTAATGTCGAAGAACCAGTGCAGAGAATCAAGAAAGGAGGAGACTGAGAGAATCATGCTAAAGTTTCCCTCTGTTTAATAGTACTGAAGTAGATTAAATGGCCCACATCCTCAGTTAGTGTGAATTAGCATGGTTCCGTTGACTTCAGCAAAACGACACTGATTTCCAGCAGCTGAGGTGTGGCCCATTGCATCGCCTTCAGAACAATTAAAGAATGAAACTTTAGCAGAATCTAAGGTCCTCCACTATTTAGTGCACCTCTGTTCCCATTTTTAAAAAATTGTGAATGCCTATTGACAGCAGAAGAACGCAGTGGATCTCATAAATGAGAACTGCTACGCCCTCCTCCTTGTTTCAGCAGTGGACTTTCTCCCTTTTGAAAGCTTTTTCTCTCCTTGTTTGGCACCTCCTTTTCTCAGTTCTGCTGTGTCTTGAGGATCGAATGCAGCTCTCTGTTCCCCGATCTAGTTTAGGAGACGTGCAGGAAAGTGATCTTCAGAAGAATAACCCTGAATGCCTGATCAGCAGCAACAGCACGCACCTTCTAGTCAAGATCCCACTTGATGTGTGTGGAACCAGGGTGAAGGTACTGATTGCCAGAGCACTCTGCTGGGGGTTTACAATTGTCTGATATCTGTGTTCACCATGGGTGAGTAGCCCAGGGTGGGGAGAGGATTTGGTGGAATACAGCAATAGTCCATGGGTGCATGGAGTTAAGTCTGCTACACTGGTACCAAACAAAGCTTCTGCACCAGCAGAAGCACTGGCCACGGCCAAGCCAGTAAGCACTGGAGAGACAAAGCACATAACCAGCAAAACGACATATGTCAGACCCCCCAGCTGCTGGCTGGATTGCACTAGGTTCTGTATGGGTGTGTGTACACGTACACACACACACACACAGACACAGAGAGGCAGTCCCTGTCCTAAAGAACATACAGCGTAAACAGACAAGACAGACAAAATCTGAAAGAACTGGAGTGGTATTATCCCTATTATACAAGGGGCAGGGGGGACTAGGGCACAGAGTTTAAATGACTTGCCCAAGGTCACACAGAAAACTTGTGGCAGAGCCCAGAACTCCAGATTGAATCCTAGCCCAGCGCCGTAGCCATGAGACCATCCTTCCTCTGAAACCCTCTACACCATGAATGCTGTTGAGATTTCTGTAAACGCTAATGGGAATTCCCTGGGGAAATCCCTTCTGCATCAGAGAAAGTGTTCCCCCAAGTCTTTGGGGCATTAACATTCAACGCCTCACTCTTACTCTGACATCTCTGTCCCTTCCTGTTTTTGCAGGAAGATCCACCTTTCTTCATCTTCACCAACAAAATAATTGGTCGACACCAAGGAGCATTGTCCAGTCCATTCAAGAAAACCCTGGCCATCCCAGTGAGCTGCAAATACACCAAACAGGAGGAGGGAGCTGGCAGCAACTACTGCCCTTTTGTGGGCCCCACAGATAAAGGCTTTGGCAACTTCAGCTTTGATATTAGATTCAGCACACAGACTGCAGGTGGGATGAGATCATTAGAACAGGGGGCTTCCATTAATGCCAGTGTCAATGACCAATTATTTATCAGTGTGTCGGCCAAGAGCGACCTGGCTGATGCCCAGCTGGTGGTGCAATCCTGTCAGGTGCTAGGCAGCCAGGACTCTTCCAATGGCATCTTCATCATACAAAAAGGGTAAGAGCCTTTCACCTCCACATCACTAGTTCAAATCCAGCCTAAGTCACTAAGTGCCTTCATGACCATCTTCGAGGTCTATCAGTGGCCTTTGTGAGAAGAGTTGGTTGTCTCAGTCCACTTCCATCTGTACCACCAAAAACCACCTTCACTGTTGGCACTGTCAGGCTCAGTAGAGGTGCTAAGGACTGACAGGGCCAGGCAGACAGCACTCCTCCCCTCTTGCCCTAATATTGGTCCCCGCATGACATATGAAGCCTGTACTCCCATTGGCACAGGGGATGAATCAGGGCAGTATGGGTGTGACTAGAGTGTATCTGCAGCTGGCAGATGGTCCCTGACAGTCTGTAACCAGATGGTGAAGGTTAGAGCAAGCCAGTACTGTGGCCAGAATGCAATAAGCTAGAGCAGGGATGGGCAAACTTTTTGGCATGAGGGCCACATCGGGGTGCGAAACTGTATGGAGGGCTGGGTAGGGAAAGCTATGCCTCCCCAAACAGCCTGGTCCCCGCCCCCTCCCACCTCCTGACAGCCCCTCTCAAAACCCCCAACCCATCCAACCCCCCCGTCTGCCCCCTCCCTGGACCCCCCGCCCCTAACAGCCCCTCTGGGACCCCACCCCCATCCAACCCCCCTGCTCCCTGTCCCTGACTGCCCCCCCACCCCTAGCCACCCCTGTGGGACCGCACCCCCTATCCAACCCCCCCTGCTCCCTGTCTGCCCCCCCGACCCCATCCACACCCCTGCCCCCTGACAGGCCTCCCATGACCCCACCCGCTATCCAACCACCCCTGTTCCCCATCCCCTGACTGCCCCCCCAAACCTCCGCCATATCCAACCGCCCCCTGCTCTCTGCCTCCTAACTGCCCCACCCCCCCAGGACCTCCTGCCCCTTATCCAACCCCCACCCACCCCTTACCATGCCGCTCAGAGCAGCAGGAGCTCAAAGACCCACTGCCCGGCAGCATGACTGCGGGGAGGGGGAGACAGCAAGGGAGGGGCCAGCCAGGAGCTCCCTGGCTAGCCTCCCTGGCGAGGAGCTCAAGGGCCAGGCAGGACGGTCCCGCGGGCCACAGTTTGCCCACCTCTGAGCTAGAGAATACAGCTCCCTGGCTGGCGGACACACCTCTCAGCTGCACAGCACAGAATCTGGGCTGTCCATTCCCTGCATATGTATATAGAAATAGAAAAGTCAAGACTGATTAATCCCTGGTTTGAGGTACCAATTGTTAATGACCACACTGGTCGCAAAGTTATTCATGGTACTTTTTCCTTGCAGATGCTTGAATTACAAGGCAGCCAAAGAAGTGATTCTGGAAGATTCCAAGGACAAGGTGTACAGCCTCAGGCTCTCCTCAGTAGCCGACACCGTTCCTGAGGTGATTCACCACTTTGCTCCTTCTTATATGACTACAGCTGACAGCTCAGTACTGCCACACCCCTGGGCTCTTGGGAGATATTGGGATGAGAACCCAGGGTGTTCCATAGGCCTTGATACTGGGCAAATAGGGTATAAAGGCTCCTCCACAATGGACACATTAGAAACATGAAGGACACACCTTCTCCCATCCACCTCCTACAAATTAATACAGAGATAGTTCCCTCACTGACACAGAGAAAAAGAATACACATCCATGCCTCTTCCTACATACCCAGAGAGCTCCCGCAGGCACACAGCCATACATGCATGGCGCTAATGTAAGTTCTCACACCCCATACACTTCTGAAAAATGTGTGACCTGGTTTCTAGCTTCCTCCTCCCACAGAGCATATAAAACATGAAAGAAACTCTCCTCCATCCAGCTCCTGAAAATTAACTCCACTATGCCTACAAGTCACTCCCCACCCTGCACATGCACAGAAATACAGGCGCAAACAGTGCCGCACAGAAACATCTGCAGCAGAACTGGTTGAAAAACGGGACAACCTTTTCACAAAAATGGTCTTTGTTTCATACACACCCAAAATACAGGAGTATGCAGGAGAGTGAGTGACACAAATGGCAAAACTGCAGTGTGTATCCAAGGGGAAAATTCTGCCACAGAACCATGAATAGTCAAAATTCCCAGGCTGTGGTAGAGGAGGCTTGCAGCTACATTGCTGACTGAGAGTTGGCGTGGCTGCTAGGACTTAAAGCCAGCTGTCCTTGTTTCTAGGTGTTTGTAACTTGTGATGTGAAGCTGTGTCGCAGCTTGAGCAGGTCCAGGCTATGCCCTTCACGGTGCAGGTCCTTCCAAAGCAATGATTCGCCATGGAAGATACTAGAAACAAAGATCCATCGGATCACTGCTGGGCCAATCCGGATCACCAAGGGCCCTTCCAGTGGTAAGAGGTCATTCAATTTCTGAGGCATTTGTCTCTTAATAGGCTCTTCTAAAACAGGCTGTTAGAGGGAAGGCTGGGGGCAGTTGGTGTATTATCCCAAAGCACCAACCTCACCACTGAGAATATAGGACTGTAGATCTCATAGCCCTTATGTAACAGAAACAAGCAGCAGCTCGCTCTAGGAGTGCACCTTTTGCACAGGGTTTCACGCCACCACAAAGACTTTGGTTTTTGAGGACTGCAATGATCGCCAAGAACATGATTCTGCAAAAATGGCAGAGTGGGCTTATGCCCAGAATATAGAATTGTGGCATTTGGACCTGTCTGAGTTAGCAGTCACTCTACGTTTAGACTTCCAAGCTGTGCAATCTTTAGGCATCGTAATCTCCACAGTAATGGGAGAGCCATAGGCAATAGTGCAGACAACCCCTCAAAATTGGAGGGAGCTTGCCTCTTGTAAAATATTAGATATTCCTCATTTTAGTTTTGGGTTTTTTTTAAACAAAAATGGGATCATCCCGATGTCCATCAGTGTGTGAATCAGGTTTACACGGCAAAGAGTCCCCCGGATTGTTTTGAGCATTGCAGCTTTTTGTGTTCATCGGTAGCATCACAATGTTGCATAATCTCATCAAGATACTAGATAAGTCCGTGATGCTGCAAGGTCAGAACGTGAAAATATGAAACTCAGAGGCGAGTGGGCTAGCTGACTCTATACCACTGAGCAGAGCAATACCAAGTACCAAATACTCCCCATATCAGTCATCTTATCTGACAAAAAGCTTCTACAAGCCATAGTAATCAATGCCGAGTACATCAGTACTCAAGCTACAGGGGATGCTGTAGCCAGATAACAGTCCTGAAGCCTCCCGGTAGCACTATAGAGGTAAGGAAGGGATATATAGGGATCATTCCATCAATTACTGAAGAAAAGCCACCCCTTTCTTAGCCACCTGAGAAGCAGCAGCAGAGTTTGGCATGGCTCCAGAGCGTCGATGTAGTGAGATGGCAAAACTTACATGCCACCCACTATCAATGAAGCACAAACTGCCATATTAACGTCCTTTTCCTTTAGCTGCTGCTTTGGATACTCCAGGTAAACCTGTACATCTTTAAATATAGAGGGATGTTAATACAAATAATGTTATCCATTGGTGGGGTATGGAAGGCCTTATTGCATGTGTGTGAGGGCATGGGACAACCTTATTAGGGAAAATTCTAACTGGGCCAAAACAAAAAGGTGCCTCAACAACAGCAACGAACATCTATAAAAGGAGAGCAGCCTCTTCTCAAAAGAAAAGAGCTTCCACCTACACGAGAGCTTCAACCTACACCCTCTGACAGACCAGCTAGTTAGGGTTTAAAGTACCACCTAACTCAAGCTAGAGATTTTTGTGTGCGGACAGCTGTCAGGTTGGGAGCAACACTTGAGTTATACCTCAAGCTAACACTGGTGCCTCACTTTCATGAATACCACAATGCACCCAAAAATACCATTTGAACACTAGAGCTTGTTGGCAGCTTATTGGATTTTTGCCTCTTCATGTTTCTTTTCGAGATAGAGACGGTATCAAAATAAACCAGTGGTTAGCACTTTGGTGTTTAGAAGATTTCACAGGGTGAAACAGTAGCTTCCAGCACTTTAAATCTCCAATGGTTCTCCCCTAGAGGCTCCTGAATACATTTATCACATCTGCCTCCTCTCCCTCCTCCCTGCAGGTACCAACTACACTGCCTTAGTGGTTGGGATAGTGCTGGGCTGCACAGTGGTGTGTGTCGTCTTTCTGCTGGTGAAGAAGTCCTTTGTGGGGGTGCCATACAGGAATGTATCCCTAAGAATATGAGACTATCACTGCAAAGGGCATTTAAGGAAGTCAGATGGTTGGGAAGATTACTGCACTTGAAGGACACAACTGAAAATTCCGAGAGAGAGCAACATCAAAGTTTGTGGGAATCCGATGCTGAGCAGATTGCTTATTGCAGCATTTCTGAGTTTGGTACGGGTACCACTGGTGGTACTAAGTCCATAATCAAGTGGTGTATGGGTGCTTCTAGGATCCACTATGACACTGATTAAAAAAAGAATGTGGAAAACACCGGATACTTGTGACTTTTAGATGTGGTTTGCTTAACGACTTGTCTTCACTGCAACAGATAGCTTAAGTTATTCCTCTGAAGTTCGCCTAGCTCAAGTAAGTGTAACCACATTGTGAAAAAACACTCAAGCTGCACAGAAGATTGGATTAGCATCTAATGAATTGTGCTAACTTGAGTTGCATCCCCAATGCATTGCTAGCTTGAGCAACAGACACACTAGAGCTTCAAACTACACCCCCTAACGGACCAGCTAGCTAGGGTTTAAAGTATCACCTAACAAGCTAGAGATTTGTGTGTGTGGACAGCTGTCAGGTTGGGGGCAATACTTGAGTTATACCTCAAGCTAACACTGCCGTGAAGACAAACCTTCAGTCTTAACCTCTAAGAACTGATGACTTACAGGAAACATCTTATATAAACAAGCTGCTCTCGAATACAATCCAGGGCTTAGTGATCTGGAGCACTTCCTGGTGGGCATGTAGTATTTTGAGTACCAAGTAGAACCAAGATTTAGCTGTTGGGAAGGAAGGTGCTTTATGAAAGATACTCTTTTCTGAAGTGATATGCTTAAGAAGAGTTGGAGAACCAACGGTGAAATTAACATGCAGGGCTACATAAGCTTATACAAAATACATTTAAGGTTGGACCAAAGCAAGAAAGATCATCTTCAAAGCTGTTGGATTTTGCGGTGAGTTCAACGAGTACCTACTCATTTTGGAAAGAAATCAGTGAGGCTCACTGATATCATTTATTTCTCTCTCTCACTCAAAAACCTTACAAGGCAGGCTTTTACAGAGAATATAGCTAGGTCTATTTTCATCCAGATTGATAAAGATTACAGTCATCCACTGACAATTTAATTTTTATTTGTAAATTGTTTTTCAGTAAGAGGATGAGAGCTAGGAACTCAGCGATGGATAAACCTTGCTAACATGGTTTTCCTCCCACCCCTATTGGTCCACCCTGCATGTGTGTAGGGACTCAGGTATTATGAGTTGATCAGTTTGGGGATTTTCCCTCTTTTCTCCATGAGAACATTTTAAAAAATCAGAAGTTTTAAAAAACATCAACATACATATCAAGGGATCCATGACTGTATCAAAATGCAAAGAGAGAAAGAGAGGGAGTTATCAGCTGCAGAAAATATAAAACCAAGATACTCCAAGCCACAGACTCGCAAAGGAAAGAGTGGGCAACTGCTTTGTCCATCACATATTCCATTTTTCAAGCGATGTGAATTCAGCTGTGCCACAGTGAGACAATTACACTAGCATATGCTGCATCTACAGACTCCAGAGTCCCACCCTGAAAGCATGAGCTACTTCATGTATACAGTATTGTTAGCCCTAGGGCCAACAGGTCGCCTAAAGGCAAGCCCATATGGATGAGAATCAGGGTCAGGGTATTTTCTAGCTGTAGTCTGTTTATTGATAAAATGTACACAGGGTTCAGTTTCTTTGATGAATGGTATGAACAAACCACACACAGACAGCACTCTTTTGCAGAAATCTCAAGTGAGCCACTCCAGCCCTGTACCAAGTTGCCGGCCTTCTGTTTCTCTTCACTCATTCCAACTGCTCACTCCCAGTCCCACCTCCACAGACAACAAGAATCTAACCTGAGTTCAGGGCTCCAGAAAATCTGTTAGCTCCAAACCTCTCAGCTGTAGCATCATGGGCTGGCCTTTGAGCCTGGACCATAAGCCCCACAATATTTCTCAATGACCCTCTGTCTGATTACCTGCTTGTATCCACCATTTCTATGAGGAACTTCTCAGGCCTTGTCTTCACGATGAAAAAAGGTGCATTCTTAATTTGAGTTAGCTAACTCAAGGTAAAATCCTCGAGAAGACAAGACACTTTGTAATTATTATTTGTATTACCATAGTGCCTAGGAGCCCTAATTATAGATCAGGACCCCATTGTGCCAGGTGCTATACAAAGAGAACAAAAAGACAGTCCCTCCCCACAAAGAGTTTACTAGCAAAATATAAGGCAAGAGACCACAAATGGGTAGAGAGACAGATAGGGGAGTATGAGGAAACAATGAGGCTATTCTGGTCAGTATGACAGGCAGGGGTATCAGCACACAAGTGGCCTACCCATTGTCAAGTCTTTTGTAAGCACCATGGTAAAGGAGAGCTTTAAGGAGGGATTTGCGGAGGGATAATCAGTAACTTTGTGGATGTTTATGAGGAGTTCTTCCCAAGTGCGAAGGCCGGCATGGGAGAAAGCAGAAGGTGCATCTGAAAAATTGTAGTAAGTGGGCAATGGAGGTTGGCATCATTGGTTAATCAAAGGAGTTGACATCTTGATTGTGATTAAAAGTGGATAGGTCTAGGGATAGGCCTTGAAAGTGAAGACAAGCAACTTCCGTTTCCTGTGATAGAGGGGGGACGGAGAGGCAATGGAGAGCTGAACAGAGAGGAGTGACACAGTCAAAGCAACAGGCTAGGAAAATGATTTTTACAGCAGCATTCTTTAACATGACCTTCTAACTTAGGTGGAAACTACAGACTGCCTTGTCTTTGCTAGCATTTTATCTCAAGTTAGTCAACTCAAGTTAACACACCTTTTACTGTGCTGTGAAGACAAGGCCTCATATCTCAACAATTCTTAATGACAAGCCATTACAGTATCTTAAGTCAATTGCTTCATGGAGTCAATATCTCCCCCTCAATTATTGAAACCTCCTGCTCCACGAGGGGGGCATCATGCACATCCAGTTCCCACAAATCACAGCTGATAAGATCAGCTTCCTTACACCCTCCCCCCCACGTCATCCTGTCACCACCTCTTGTAATCCTTCCCTGGCCTCCCCTCCTCCACCATTTCAAATACGAAGTTCTTTAATCAAGGCTCGGCATTAACCTACTCCTTTTTATGCAGCCACCTCTCTCTCTTATTCTAGAGCTCTCCATTCCACCAATGCCAGCCTCAGTGCTCCATTTGTTTACTCCCACGACAAGTTCTCTGCCATGTCACCCTGTGCAGAGGGCACTTCCTCAGCTGCTCTGTAAGGCCACTACACTCTATTTAAATCCTTCCTGAAGAAGCACTTCTAACGTACCACCTACAAGAAATAATCCAATTAAAAAGGGTTTAGGCAGAAGGGGCAGACTGGGAGAGTTTATAATTAAAATATAACCTGGGACTGTATTAAAGCATAGGGTAAAATTTTCAAAAGCACCAAAGTCCTATTTTCAAAAGTGACTTAGGCACTTGGGTGCACCAGTGCCCAAAGCCTGGTCTATCCAGTCTTTGTAGTGGCATAAAAAAAAAATCGCTCCCTTAACTGGAATAGTTAACAGATATAGTTTCCTGTGATTCCAGTTTACCGGTACAACCTCGAGTGTGGCTGGAGTTATACCAGTATAAAAATGCCTTATACCAGGAGAGCTTAAGCTATTCTCATACAGAAACAGCTATATTGGTATAAAGCTCCTCTATTCTGGTCCGACTGTCTCCACACTAGAGAGCAGTACAACTTGTGGGTGTAGAGAAGCCCTGAATCACTTTTTGAAAATGAACTTCAACTCTTAAGTGACTTGGGAGCTTTTGATAATTTTACCCATGGCCAATTTCCAGTTTGACCATTTCTCTCACCCTTCAGTGTCATGTTAAATTGTAAACTCCTTGTGGCAGGGACAATGCCTTCCTATATGTTTATATAGGGCCTAACATATTGGGAGACCAGTGTAGTACAAATGATAAATCAGAGAAAAGAGAACAGGAATTTTAAACAATTGATACAAGCATCTGGCAATGTTAGAGGGTGAAAGCTAAATGACTCATGATCCAGAAATGTACTTCCTGCAGGGTGACAATGCATTTATGAAATATAATGTTCGTATGAAAGAACCCCGTCAGGGCTGTGTATTCACTGGGCATATTCCACACCTGTAGTAGCCAGAATACTCTCATTATGGCCAGAATTCTAAAGCCACTTGATAACTAACCCCATACCAGATCCAAAGAAGCAATAAAATGGCTATGGAAGATTTCAGTTTTCTTCACCCCACAAAGGGCCAGTTACAGTGTTAGCAGATGTCTCAACTACCATTGCAGTGGAATCATAAAAGCTTCTTTGTTCAGGTGAGGCACTGCTTTGGCTAAAGGAAGTATCTGCTACATTTGCAGAGCTGCTACAATGTCTGCAGCTGTGTTTTATTACGCCATTAAGCCAAAAGAAAACTGGATTTTAAGAGGCATTACAAGTCTAATTTTAAACTGAGAAAAAGAAGGAAATACACACTGAAGGTTATTATGTAGTATCCACCTCTCAATTTGGTGAAATCCAAGTGTAAGAACAAGACCCACTCTAAGAAATAAGAAAAAAAACAGCAGAAATGTTCAGAATGTGAGAGCCTTTTCTTTAGAGTGACACTGGCCCGGTTTTATGACATTTTACAACATTAAAAGTACACTTGCCATTTGTGAAGCATAGGGACAAACTTAAGTCTCCACTGAGGGAAACTTGACACACATAATAAAGGTCTGCTTGGATGCGAGAGCTGAGATGCCTACTATGCATACTTCTCAATCTGCCAAGACCCAAACACAGAACAATACTCTGCATAACACAATGTGTGGCAGATTCAAAAAGGGACAAAAATTATTCAGACAGGAAACTTAAAATGTCATGGGATTTTTTTTTTAGCGACTCTTTCCACAACCTCAGTTTCATGATTATTCATGTCTGATGTAAATACACTTTCAACAATAAAATGAGGCGGATGTCAAATTTGTGTGGAACGTGATTAACTTTGGGACTAAATGAGTGACAGCTGAGAGATGCTCCAACAGGTGGGCACATAACAATGACTTAACCTTTCATTTTTTTCTCTCTGCCGGTACTTCAACTTTGTTTGCATTTAACTAATTTCAAAATGAAGGGAGTGTTAAACATGACAGTAGTTTTGGTGCCAAGAACATAACATATATATGCATTTGAGAAGCAAATTCAAGAGACGTATTGATGTTTTGAAAACATTTTCCAATAGTTCTTTGATTATGAAAACTGTAACTTTGAGACTATCAGCCAGTCCGGGCGAGGGGACTGGATAGCGTGTCATGAGACAGAAGCTGATTGAAAGTGACATCAGCTCTCTGTGCTCTGGCATGTGTGAGGGAGAGGAGGGGATAGATGGCACTAACTTTCGTAACAATGTTCACCCCAACGTACTTTAGTAATGCAATGATACAGGAGCCCCATTTCTATATAAATCAAATATATTTCACCGTCTGAAATCACTGCAATGTTCTCTCAGTCCAGGATTTCTTCCAAAATTTAAAAAAGTCTGAGGCAAACATTATCTACAACTTCCTTTGTAGAGTTACCTTTACCCCCTTTTTCATCCTGTTACCCCTTTCATTGCTCCACTCAGCAGAAACAAGTGTCCTTGCACTTTTATCCAGTGACCAAAGAACAGGAAGGCTCCTCCCAAAGCTAACATGCTCTCTGGACAGGTTTTGTAAGACAGCCTGACATTCTTTCCACCCCAGTGTAGACACTCACTGGTGACAGGAGGGGTTCTTTCATCACTATAGTAGTAAATCCACCTCCCTGAGAGGCGGTAGCGAGGTTGATGGAAGAATTCTTCCATCAACCTACCACTGTCTACACTGGGCCGTCCATCAGCTTAACTACATCCCTCAAGAGGTGTGAATTTTGTAGATGGGTCAACCTTTCTAGTGTAGACCAGCCCTGAGTTTAAACTGTTCACATTGTATGAAAACTATATTTTTTAAAAACAGCGTCAGCATCAGTTGTTCACTATTTGTCACTATAATTTCTAAGGCTGTCACTTGCTTGTCCACCATGCACATTAGGGTGAGGGTTTCCTTTCAAAATCACTTACTTGCTTTGCTTTTAGAAATCAGGTCACTAACAAACAGCCAATGTTCTTTTTTCATCAGACAGTGCAAACAGACATTATGCATCACCTATCAGGCCACTTCTTGCTAGGGCACAAAATGCCTACTCCCTGTTTTGCAATAAAAATGGCTCCAATATGGGGACTATTTAGATCAGAAAGAAAAAGGGCACACAAGAGGGAATAATGAAAAATAGGGAAGACACCTCTTCATCTAGTCCCATCAAAAATATTAGGTAGTACATTTAACATATACATATTTTTTACAATGATTAACCTGGAAAACTTGTTTGTACAGGTGCATACAAGGTTTAGTAGATAGTCACAAGAGGCAAAAGAAATACATAAGCAGTTACAACAGAAAGTGTTATGATGGAGAGTTACCTTTTTAATACTTTGAGCTCATCTAGCATCTTCAATCCAAGGTTCAAACACATTGCCAATTAGGAATCAAGCCTCAGCACTCCCATGAGATGGCAACAAGTCCCTTGTTCCAGATGGGGAACGGAGATGTTAATAAGTTTGCACAAAATCAGGTAGGAAGCCCAAGGCACAGCTTGAAATAGAACCAGTTTATTACCCAAATCCAATCAAAAACTATTTTGAATTAAATTATGTTTCACTTTCTGCTTTCAAAACCACAAGTTATTGCCATCACACTTGTAGTTCAAGCTGCCATTGGGGAAAAAATAGTACTTGAGACTCTAATTTTGGGTGAAATCAGACTTGGTGAAATTACAAGTCTTCTCTCCTGGCCCCTAAATGTTTCAATTCAGAAAAATAAAAGCAGAAAAGATTGGCAGTCTTGAGAGCAACTTTCAGTTTCCTGCCCTTGGAGAACTAGATTTCTCTCAACTGCTTTTAAATGGGGGTGGGGGAATGAAGGAAGAGGCAGGAATATGGACTATCAAAGCTGGGAACATTCTAGAGAGAGATGGGAGGCAGCGTAGGCTGGCGCAGTATTTCTCAAACTTGTTTGATCGCGCCCTTCTTTGTGTCTGTAGTAGTTTATGCCCCCTCCTCTCACCACACAAGTATACAATACACATATCAATAAAAAAAACACCACCACCACACCTAATATGCAGCTCTCGTTTAAATATTAAAAGCATTAAGGCTTTGATCCAAACAGAGCCAACGATCCATGGTAATAAGAGCAAAAGCAAAACAGTGATTGTGGTCGATGCTTACAATGAAACGTGCATGCCGTGTTGTAGCAAACAGATTAACATACAGATGGCAACGACTTTGTATAATACAAGGTTAACAGAAATCCATCAATATGCACAGCGCCATCTGAGGAACTATGATGTCTGGAGGAATCAGCTTTGCTAATTATTCACTGCTGTGGGTAAAGTGTGCACAGTAAATTTTTTTCCCCACGAAAGCTGCTCATGCACACCCCCCTCCTAGGGGCCTGCCTCCCAGTTTTAGAACCTCTGGTCTAGTGGATAGGGCTTTGTCTGTTTTGTCTATTTAGACTGTAAATTCTTTGGGGGCAGAACCTCTCTCTTACTCTGTGAGAGTACGTCACCCGGCACAGTGGGGCCCCAATCTCAGTCCTGGTCTATTCTGCAGAGTTAGGTAGACACAAAACAGCTGACGTTGACCTATGTAAACATCTACACTAAAATTTTGCTCCCACAGACGTAACTGGCCTGTTACATCAACTTAACTCTACCTTCACGAGAGGCGTAGAGTCAATGTTGATGTAGTTAGGCTGACACAGTGTGAGTGTAGACACTGTGTTGCTTACATCGACTGTTGCTGGCTTTCAGAAGCTGTCCCACAAGGATAGTTCAATTGGTGCAAGTGCTGCTGGTGAGGACATGCACCGCTGACATTAAGTAGCAAAGTGTAAACATGCACAAGCAATATAATTACTACAACGACTGTATGCTGATGTAATTTAGGTCGGCTTAATTTTGTAGTCTAGACATGGCCTCTGTCTGAGCCTCTACATGCTACTGAAATAGATGTTCCACATCATTTCACTGGATGGTCCACTGAAACTGCAGCTGAGACGTATGTTCTGGCAGCAGAGAAAAAACTAAAAGAAAATCCTTGACAGAAGCTGACAGGGATGAAGATTTAACCAACATTTCCATCACAAGTACAAATCTGAAAACAGGGATTCAGTTTATAACACAGCCAGAAATCCTAGAAACCCCATGGCAAATTATTTAAGCTCACACAGCAGTTTTGAGAGGAAGTACAGCTAATAAACATTTCCCCTCAGAAAAGGGAACAAGGCTGGTCTGCCAGATTACTATGATTACAGCATCTGATGCTCCCTTTAAGGAAAAACATAACCAGGAGAAACTTTGAGTTCAGCTCCCTAGAGAATACTGCAGAAAAGTGTGGTCTCAATTTCAGTCATGAAAAAAAAAAAGCCACCCATGAATGCATCCACCTTCCGGCAACAGCTTTTGCATAGTTAGGACTAAGGTGGAGGGAAAACCCTTCTTTGTGGTCTGACTGTCTCCTTTTATTTTTTAAATGGATGGAAAGGAACAAATGATATGCTCAATATGAAATGCAAAGAGAATGAGTCGATCTGCTAAGAAACTACATACAGGATGAAATCTATTTGGTCCAAGTAAATTCATTTTTACTTCTGTAATAAAATTAATTCCAAGAACAGACAATTGCACTGTATTTGCCAGAGATCAATATTTCTAACAATCCAAATAATACAAATTCATAATACATGCTGCACACAACAGTACTGCAAAGGACTTTTTAGAGGGTCCTTTAAAACAACCTTTGAGCAGATTTTTTACAAAAGTGCACAATGAGAAAAGAGCACATTATGTCAATGGTATCACCAAGGTGAGCTGCTTCAGACTCAGTTGTTCAGTTGCAGTCATGCAGGATTTATCTAAGCATTTTCCTTTATATCTCAAATTTGTCTCACTTTCAAAAATCCATTTAGAGAGTCTGGAGCCAACTTTATGACTCATTGGACAGAGGGCTAGAATAGATTTCAAACTGCAATTCAATGCAGCATTAATTGTGGAGTTTGAGATCTGAACCACAGGCACCAGCTGATAAATGAATGGACCTAAATTGAGAGCATTCCAGAACTGTTTTGCTATGGAGCTGAATTACCAGGTTCCCAACGAAGGGCTGACATCATATCGCCCTAGAGTGGGGTCTCCGCCCTTTAGCACAAGGAGAAGTGTTGGTATTATAAATATAAATGCTTTTTTTAGGATGTTTTCCCATGTAAAATGTAGAAACTTCTTTTTTCAAGGGCAGGGGGGAGAAATTCTGAAAGAAAAGTTTCACTACCAGAAAGTGAAGTGAGACTATTTCAGGATCATCTTTAAGGAGTGATACACATAAATGCTTTCTTGTTCACAAGCTTTATCCACTCTGCACGTACATTGGTACTTCCTCTTCACAATCACAGAGTCAACAGAAGTGCTGATGGCCCTCTCCATCAGCAAGACATCCCATTCACAGACAAGAAAGTCTTCAGTCTCTCTGGCTCTTCATCCATCCCAGCTACAAGGAGGCCTGCTCCTTCATTTCCTGCTGAATGAAACACATCCAACAGCATGACATGGCTAGCTAGCCCACAGCTGGAAAGGAACTTCTCACCAATATTCACCTAATCCCACTCAGATTTTTCTTATTTGCCGTCTTTCATATTGGCAAATCCAAGAAACAAATTAAACCACCAACCTATTAACAACAAATATCTGAAATCTGTTCATTCCTACTATACAAAATATATGGAGTTGCCCAAATACTAACTTATCATAGCTCAAAGTGTACTAAGTGTGACAGATATTGCAATCCCATGCAGTATTTTGCAGGACATTGTAGTACATTTACAAATTGTTTATGCATGATTGTGTTCTTCTCCTACAGAAACTAAGAATAGTGGGTGGTGATTTAGTGGAGTCACTGAGACTAAACTTTAGAAAAGTACTGTCCCCATGGTGGTTTGCATATCCTGGTTCATGATGAGTTTTCCAGAGACTAAGAGACAAAGAAATGGCTTTTGGTATAAAAGGATGAGCTTGAACCAACACTGGGTTTCTTTCTGATTCAGCAAATGGACAGGAGCTTCTCTCCATGGGGAACCCCCAACCCTTGTGAAAGGATTGGAATGATTTTGGTCTACAAGGGTCCCTGGGTGACTCCTGGTATGTTTAAATCTGTGTATTGTTTTTATTATGTTTTGACGGTAATGCTTTTACCTTAATAATAAAGGTGCTTGCTTAGCAAGAGCTGTGTGATAATTTCTAATTGCTGTCAATACACCGTTCATAGCCCTCAGAGAGAAAGCAAAGCACAGGTGTTGGCTTTTAGACATACTGGCTAGCTCGTGATATCACAGTGTCAGGTGGGGGAGCTATGCAGCCTTAAAACCCCCTGGTCAGAAGGCAGTGGTACAAGGGTCCCTGCCCAGACACAAGTGGCAGCTGGAAATGTGATACCCAACTGGGAACTCCTGGAGCGGACCATGGGGGGTGTGGGTGGGGGGAGAAGAATACAGGTGATGTTCCCCTGAAACTGTGACACTAAGAATTTACACATAAAAGATTAATTTATCCTAATGAAAAGACTGAGTGATCCCAAATTCCATATTTCCCTTTATCAGTCTGTGTGTGTAGCTGTGTATTTCAAACCCAATAATTGTAAGTCAAAAATGCTGTTAGTAAAAGGAAATTAAAAGACACAAGAGACAAAACATGTAGTTAAGCAAATTGCAATTTAAAAAGACTCGTACTTCTCCTGTTATATCAGAAAAATGGTCTTCTTTGTGGCACTATTCAGAGTTATTCCTGAAACGTAAATATTTCTGGTCAAAGAATCCATTCCCAGGGTGCTTTATGCATATTTCCTCACCTGCCATTGAAGAGAAGAATAAGGTTCTGGACAGCTACAACAGTGGAATTCTCATTCTGTCCTGTAACAAGGTGCCTGTCCAGAACTATGTGTACAGCATCTGGCCTGCTGGCTGAATCAGAGAAAAATATTCAAATACTGATGCCAGTGGACACTGCTTCATAATTTCTATTTCACACATCCAATGAGACTGCAGTACAGAGGTTAACTATTTCAAATAGACAGTGTTTGGTGACTAACTGATATGCTGAGCTGTTTACAAGGTAGAGATAAACCTGACCTACCATCAAAGCTTCCTGAGGATTTCAACAAGAATTCCCTGCATGGAATGATTGTCAGATTGGCCCTTTATTTGTACCAGTCCTCTATCAAGTTCCCTATGTATTTCAGGAGGCTATCCTGGGAAACAAATTTTGAAGTGCATTTCTTTAACTTCCATTCACCCATGCAATGCATTATAAATACCCCTCATGTAAGAGACCAAGGTTAGCAATCACTGCCTAACAAAGAGCCTGCAATGATACAGATTTTCTGTCCAGTGAAAATACCCTGATATACTGGTATTCATTAGTAACATGTTGGTATTTCGCCAACCACTTTGGTCTTTTGTCCTTGATCAAACTTTTTAAAGTACTATTTTATGAAATTCCATTAACCTGTCATTCTTTTTCTGTATTCCACCCCCTACCTGACAACTGATGATGATAATCCAAATGCGTGGATAGGAATAAATGGCTTATCTCGGAACATACTCCTCCTGCTGCTCAATCCACTCAATAAAAGCTTCAGCCAAATCTGTATGACATCACAAGTAATCACCATGGAAGTGACTGTGACATCAGATGCTGGAATATCATTACTGAACTAATCTGGAAGAGGCAGCTAATTAGAAAGGGGAAAGCTGCTATTTAAACACACAAAAAGCTTCATTAGCAGCAGTAATGGAAAAAAAAATAACCAAATTGTACATGGCAGTTCAAAGAGACATTGGCATCTCTTTTTTTCTTGTTAAAGAGTGCACGCAGTGTTTGTTCGTTAAGGGTCTGTCACTGTTTCCATTATAAATCCCTTTTGTACAATTTCTAACTCAGCTGTTTCAACTGCATCAGCCCAAAGCTTGGCAGTTTTGTTTACAAATAAACCCAGTGGCTTAAATATTGTGGGTTCTCAATTATTTTTCATGTATAGAGTTCAAAAAATTATACCTCTCTCTCTCCTGCTTCTTCCCTAGTTTCAGATACCAAAGGTGAATGTGACAGATGCTTACTTGTAACAGAGGACTGGAACCTTCTACAGTGTATTATTTCATTCTCCCCATGGATCTTGGGTATAATAATAAATATGGCATATTCAGCAAAATGAAACACTCTTCTGAGCCTTCAGCAATAACGAAGCAGAATAACAGCATTCAGGATAGAGTGGCAGACTCAGCTCAGAATTTTGTGTGTTAATGCATTTTGGTGCTCACAAATTACAGAAGTTGAGGCTTTGCAACTGAAAGTCAAATTGTTACATTGCAATTCACAAAAACATATTACTTGGAAAAAAGACTATATTATTTAATGATAAAACTGATTTGGTATTTTGTTCAAAGACAGCCCACAAGCAATAAATCAAAACAGTCAATAAACCAATTTTATACATAACTAAGCTTGAATAATGTAAACTGGACCCAAGATCAGAGGTGTGTTAATACGGCTGTGTAGGTGGATGCTATGGTACTAACTTTCCGGTGCAGTCACATAGGGCTCTGTCACAATCCAGCCTGCTAGATATTATTACTAACGTTGGTAAGTAATTTGGATTTTAAAACATTTTTAACTTTCCAGGGTCTTTTAGCATGTGTTGCATTGTAATTTAACAGAGTGTAACAGAGCACATTCTGCAATGGTCCTTCTCACATGTGTGGCAAAGGAATAAAAGCTATTTCACCACCACCAATCATTCATAAGACATGAAGGGCTAACAATCAGAAAGTGACGTACCACTAAAGGTAGCTCCAGAATCTTTCACAAAGTCCTCCACAATAATGGACAAACTGGCAAAACTGGGCTGCCTTATCAGCTCATACACAGAGGGCTGAAAAACAGGAGAATGAGATAAGTCTGCTTAGCTTTTACCTAAGATAGATCCAAGCAAAACCAATGAGGAAAATATTCTGTCACAATCTATTCTTCTACCCACTTCCTTCTTCCAAAAATTTTAATAAAAACATGCAACTGAAGTTATTTTTGGAGTACTTAAAAAAAAAAAAACCCAAAATATCCAATTTCCTACAGATATCCAAATTAGGGCGCAAACTGGAAATTCTCATGGGAGTCAATCTCAGTCTGCATAGGAAGGTTAAGCACACAAGTACCTCATAGTGGCACTAACAGTACATGACTAAGAATTTGGGGCTTCTATTTTAGGATTTGGTGCTTGCACCATCTGAGAACCTCACACTTAATTAGAATAGCAAAGCAATGTCCCTAGAGGATGTCCTGGGTTTTTCTGCTCTTCTCCCTTTCTCTGATTCTGCAGTCTCTGCAAATCTTAAATAATGAGAGGTGAAAACAGTCTTCCAGTGTCAGGGAAAGAGTAGAACATCATGCCCAGAAACCAGGAGAGAAGCTTCTGAGAAAACAATAGTTGACTGAGAACTGCATTATACCAATGCACCCTCAAGCTCTCTAATTATAAATATAATTCCACTTAATTAAATTTCCAATCGATTACTTTCAAGTTGTTTTGCAATAATGGTAACAGTAAGCTCTCTCTGATAAAAGTTTGTTACTTGACCTCCATCAGCATTAAATCCAGCATAATCACCTACATAAAGAGATAAGCAAAGCTTTGTACCCACAAAGCATGATAAGTCGGAATGGAATTACAGACTCTGTTTTGTAAAAAGCTAGAAATGCTTGGGGCCATTTTATAGCTTCAGTGAAATTCTCCACTAGGATGTTTAGCTGGGATTCTGTAATTCTGGCTAAAAGGCATTGAACACCACCTCATGATTTGTAACACCACAAAGCGTGGTGCTATTCCAATCTGACACATTGTACATTACATCTGCTTGCTTACTCACACGGGTAAGTTAGTTTTCCTATCGTTTTGTATCTTAATGGAACCCACATGAGAATATTTTTGAAACCTAGAACTTCATAAAGTTAAAACAAATACACCACACTAACGAGAAAGTAACCCACTATGGGCAGGCAGGTATATTAACAATTCTCAAACCATGACATTGGGGGTCACAGAACCAATCCAAGACCTCAGTGCAAATGTGAGAAAAATTACCTTTCAAATAAAACACAGCCTGACCTTCAGTTCCTTATTCACACTCAACCATTCATGCATACAAAATCATCACACACAAGACATTTTTTCTTAAATGAAAAACCTAGATTATTGGACAAGCCCTTTTGCCCTGTCCCATGAGCGATCTACCTTCTGTTAGCTACTGCTGTGGCACTTTTACCTGCAGTGCTGGCTAAAGGGATGTAAAAAGATAGCTCTCCACTGTGCTGCTTTTGGGGTCCGCCCATTCAACCATGATATAAAGGAACTTCCCACTTCTCCATTCACACAAGAGCATGATACAGACAACTAATTTAACAGCAGAAAATATATGCCTGAATCCAGTAAACAACATGCAAGAGATTAAGCCCACTGAAATGTCACCTAGTCGTGATCTCCATACCGCAGAGCCCAGTTACTTGGATTCCGTGCAGGACACGGTGTTTGTGTCTGATTGCACATTTCAGTGTACAACTGCATCATCAATTTAAACAAATCTGCATCTTTAATGACCATAACTAGGCCACAATGCACATATTACATTAAAAGTATCAGCATATGCTGTGATATCAAATATATATGCACAAGGAGTCTGTGTTACACCTTCTGTGGAAACCATAACTTTAAATTTCCTGACTCTGTGCGTAAATTTTCAACTACAAAAGTTGCATTAAGAATGTTTATTATGCATTTTATTGATAAATGAGTATAGATCCTGCATAAATCCGTGACAGTCTGTGGGTGATCTGAGACATTACAGCCTAGCGGCACAACAGGATAAGAGATCAATAGCAGCAGCCTGAGTTTGAATTTCTTTTAGTTTGTACAAATAGCTCTTTTCTGAGTTAGATTCCTTTAACATTTAAAAATCATTCATAGAAATAAAATTCACACGCAGTGTTATGGCACCAAATTGAATAACCATAGTATCTAGGGACGTTTAAAGCCATGAACTATCAGCCAGACACACTATGGCAAATTTGTTTAGAGGTTTTATCACCTTCATTTGGTATTTATAAAATACTGAGACTGACAGCACTCACCAGAACAAGGCTGAATTACAGCAGAGCCCTCATATGCAGTCTTGGGCCCCTACACAGCTCACCATTCTGGCCTACAGCACCCTTTGCCAATGACAGTCCTTCAGCTCCTGAGTAACAAGTTGTTGAACTTATCAGATTGATTATTTTGATTTGGACCAAAGTCTCTTAAGACCTATGACGACGCCAAAATCCCTGGCACTACCACACTGAATTACACTGCCCCACGCACAGTGAAATCCTCACTTTGGGAGGAGTTTGCTTCACGGTACCTACCCCTGTCAGGCTGTATCCCTGAAATACCCAGGATTTATCCTCATTTGTGGCACAACATAAAGCAGCAACTCCATGTCCCACAGCACAAATAGGCTCTAAAAAACAAATAGATTTAAGAAATTAATTTAATTATAAATACCCTGAAAGTTACAACAGCCAAAATAATATCCTTTAAGTTACTGTATATTACCTTTCTGAAAATAATGTTATGAGACATTGTTTGCATTGACTCTGGCTTTACTGTTTTCTCTGTGCACCAATTTACAAGATTAGGGCCCAATCCTTCAGAGTTACACATGTGCTTAACACAGGTAGTTCCAACAGGACTATTCATGCTCAAGTGCTTAAATTAAAGTACACATGCGATTCTTTGCAGGATCAGGATCTTATTGAAGAGGACTCTATAATACTGTGTAACTGGCTATGAACTAAGAGTTCCATCTGACTCACAGGGAGCATCACTCCAGTTTTGAACATTGGTAAGGCAGAGGAATTCTCTTCTCTCTCTCAAAAGATCTTATTTTTAATCTCTTTCCACAAGGAAGGTTTTGTTATTTTTTAAAGTTCTGATGCTGCTGCACTCTTCCAGTTGTGTAAATAATTTGAAGTTTGCTAGCTACATCACCACTTCTTCCATTACAATGCCTACAAGTGTTCACTGCAAGATAAATAGACTTTTGTATGGACCAGCAATGAAGTAATGAATTAAGTACAGACTCTGGATTTTATTAAAACAAAATAAAGATCCCCAATAGGGTTTACCTACTGTTCTCATTGCTGAAGTGCTGCAATATCCTAGCTAGGTATCCACTGTTTGCAAGGTCAGTCAAAGCCCCAGGACAGTTAGGAATCAACAGGGCATGGTATCTAGCACCTAGTCAGGAAGAGAGAATAATACAAGTTTGGACTATAAACATTAACGGGCAAAAGTATCTGAGCATGATTTCTTTTCAAAATTTATTTGACAAAGCAAAAAATACTCCACAAAAGAAGTCAGTCACATACTACAATATGTAAAAACACAAACCAAAGAAATTAAATAAAAATAAAATATCTATTATAAAGTCCAGCGCTCAGGAAGGAGAAAGCTATATTGTGGTATATAGGCCTACAAAGATCAGAAGCTTCTAAAGAGATATTCCTAACAAGCCAAAGATTTACCATTCTTCCTTCTACTATAGCAGAAGCCCTTTAATCGACCCCACAGTTAACAGTATGCCTAGTTTAGTATACCCTTTCTCCAGGGGCAAATGTATCTCACCAAAATATTGGCTTTTTATCAGTCTAACATTTTGACTGCTTGCTCATGACATGCTAGGAAAAACATTAAGATGCAAAAAAAAACCCCACCCACCTCTGTTTAAGAGCGAGAATTTTTTAGCACAACTTTGATTCAATCAAGGGAAAGACATCTCAAGCCTAATGCTTCTTCCCAATCTCCACTAGGGAGTAGAGGCCCACTGCAATACCTAGACAGGCCCCATATCTTGGCTGAAATGCATGGCAAAATCCATGATAAGAAAGACAAATTCAAGCTCCTGGTCCTCATTTCCAACAAGGCTCTGCCCCATCTCACTTCTTCCCTACATCAGTTCCTCAGTCTGACTTTACAGCCCCTCATGCTCCTTCCACAGTGTATGAGCTTCTCTTCTTATTGATCCTTTTGACTTCTTTGCCCACTCCTGACTTTACACCTTCTTTCATGAACAACTCTATCATTTAGCATACGATAAGCCTTTTCCCACTCTTCCTTACTAAATTTTCTTAAGACCCAGTTCATCTAGCTACAACACACTCAATAATTTTCCTGTATTCTACTGGATTGCATCCACATGCCTTGCTATTGTAAGTGCTTGGGGGAAGGTACTCTGTTAGGCATATTCTGCCTGAACAGTGCTCAGTACACACATCAATAAAAACAGAAGAAAATACATTTTATAGTTGCATCTCGTCCTGTAGTTTGTGTCTCAGTGATTACTTACGCAGTCTGTTTGGAACAGATGATGCAGCTTCTCCAGGAAACTATAAGGGGGAATAGCCTGAGCAATTAGGGTGGGAAGATAACAGTGATGCCCATTATGCATACAGACAGACTCCAAAAACATTACTTTTTTTGCTCTCCTCTTCCCAAAGATTTAACAGTCAGAAGCATTTGTTTTCACAATATAGAGGGGAAGATATGTAAGATACTCACCATCAATTGACTCCAACTTGGCAGGATTTGCATAAGATTTCATACGGAAGTCCTGTATCCAACGCATGTTGCTCTCATTCACATCAACAAAGTCAATTAACTTCCCCTAGTTGAATCATTGTTCAAAGACAGTGATTAATCTCAGTGCACAGTTTTTTGTCTAGTTTGTTTCTAAGTGTGGAGTTTCTTTTCTTTTTTTTTTTTTTTACAGGGACTTTAGTGCTCATTGCAACCAAAGTTCTTTCTTTGTCCACAGAAAAGGTATTTCTCTCTCCAAGATGACTTAATCCTGAAATCAAGAAGCCATATCTAACATGAGGTCTATACTCAGAGGTGAAAGTAGGCCGGTATCGTATACCGGTAAGAAGCCGATACCGGCCTGTACGCAGCCACGGCAGCACTTTAACATCGCTACCCCTTTTGCCCCCGTCAGCGGCCCTGCCGGTAGGGACCCTACCAGCAGGGTCACCAATGGGAGGTGAGGGGAGGAGTGGGAAGAGGCAAAGGGGCAGCTGCCCCAGGACCGGCGATTTAAAAGGTCCCAGAGCTCCCAGTCACCGCCGCCGCTACCGTGGCAGCGGCTGGAGCCCCAGGTGGCACAGCCCAGATGGGCTAGCTGTGGGAGGCTGACCCCCAGCCCTGCCTCTTCTGCTTGAGGCTCCGCCCCTTCCATGGGCCCAGCAACGGGCCTCCGTACTGGTAAGAATTTAATATTACTTTTACCCCTGTCTAAACTACCTTCGTTGGAACAGATGTATCTGTCAGGAGTGCTATGCCAGCAAAAGCCTCTAGTGTAGACATGTTTTTGCCAGTATTGTTTATTTTGCTCAGGGTGGCTGAAATAAGCTATACTGGCAAAACCTGGTATACTGGCAAAGTATTATTAGTGTAGACCTGGCCTCTATTTGAGAAGAGGATATTTCATCTTCCAGGGCCAAGTTAATCCCTGGCCTTTTAGAGGCACAAATTAGAGCACTGTTTAGTGCCAAACTGTGAGGCAGATTTATGTGACCTGTTAGAAATGAACTTGTTTCAGTAATAAAATGGTAATAATTTTCAGTCACTTCTGTCCTGGACAGGATTTTAACTGGTGATCCAGAGACAAAGGCCTCTCCCAGTACTATGTCTGTATATTTGTCAATTTGACAAATTATGTGAATTTTTCCATGAAAAGTCTTTTTCACTCTATTCTGCCTATTACAGAACAAAAACTCTTCCATGAATTTCTACACAATTGGGTCTTTTTAATTTTTGTAGTGAGTCATGTTTATATGCTTTTAAAACTATTGGAAAATTATGTTTAAACTACAATTGTACATGTTGCATTTGTTTGTTGTGAGGAAGCCACAACAAGCAACTAGATTTAACAACTACTAATCTCTCAAAAGTGATGTCAGAAATTTGAATTCCAGTCTGTTAGAAACAAAGAACATTTGTCAGATGGTAATTTTGAAGCTGTTAGTCTGCAGTAAATTTGAACTACTGACCCAGAGGTGAGCAGATTTACTTCCTAGTATCAACCTCCTGATGTATGTAGTTATCCATTTTGATGTATTTTACGGTAAACCCATCTAGAAATTTCTGAAAAACTTGCTAATCAAAATAAGTTATATGAATACAAAATTTTTAAATAAGCCCAAAGGACATTACATAAGGCTCAACTATCCACTCCAGGTTTTGCCTGATGAGCAAGGTAAACATAGCACAGGGATGGAACAGTATTGGGGAAAGTGTCCCTTTAGTTTAATATTAATCAGTTCTGTGTTATTAGTTTTTATACATGCATTTAGAGATAGTTGGATCAGCACATTTTATTTTGGTTTAATTGTTTGTATCTGAGGCAATAAGACAAAAATCTCAGTGCAGAATGAAAGCGAGTCATTTTCTTTCTAACTTTGCAGGAAAGCAACTTTTCATTGTTTGCAACTGAACGGAAGTGTTACATTGGTACTTTTTTGCCACACTAAATGTAAAAGTTGCTTATTTGTCCTTTTATGATCCATTTGAGTGGGTACTTCGCAATCAATCACATGCATGTTTGTTTTTCCAATAATTCACACAACTGAGCTAGGGAAATATTAGACTGAATATCAAAACTTAAGGCCTTGCTCCTGTGCAGGCATACACAATGTTTTTATTAAAGGTTTTAACACCTTAAATGAAAGTGAAGAATCTTTAATGAAGACGTCCTTTAACTTCAATGACTAACATGGTCAAAGTGTTAGCAAAAACCACAAAGGGTCAGATTTTCTGTAGGAATTCCAATCGCTCTGCGCCATCTAGAAAACAGCCAGATCTGACAACTGAGAATTCCTCTGTTGCACAGGAACTCTCAGCTGGTGCAAACCTGGTATACCTGCCTCCTATGCTAAACACAAACAAACACACACACTCACTCACTCTTGTCGCCCCAGGATAGGGACAGAACCAGAGGAGCACAGCCAGAGCTGGTTATCATATGGCTATACCCAGCTGGGTTAGTAAACACAGTGGACTGTTGCCAGGTAATGCAAGTTAGAGCTGCCGTTGCTCTAAGTTACACCAGGACAGGCACAGTTCAACCCTGAGAATCAGGGAGATGCAACAGGCTCCCTGAGGGCTTCCCCTGGCTGTACTAAGCAGAAACTAGGTGCAGCAGAGAATCTGGGTCAAACAGTTTTTTAAAGTTTGATAAAAACCCCTTCCCATTTCTATTGCTCAATTTTTACTATCTTGATTCTTATGATGTCATCATTTTCCTAGTTCTCTAGTCAGAATCTTCCAGAGCAGGAAAGACCAAAATGTCATACGCAAAACAAGCAACAAAAGATTTTGATGGGGTTTTTTGAGGGGATGAGAAGGGGAGAAGGAAGTTGACTTTTCAAACCTCCCTTATACAACATAAAGAAGCAAAAGAGAACACAATCTCCATGTTTTTTTCCCTTTGTAAATCCCCTTTAAAATTCTTGCAGTATTTCAGGAAACATCCTTTAGAACAGCGGTGGACAAACTTTTTGGCTCAAGGGCCACATCTGGGTATGGAAATTGTATGGCAAGCCATGAATGCTTGTGAAACTGGGGACTGGGGTGCGGAAGGGGGTGAGGGCTACAGTTGGCGATGCGGGCTCCAGGGTGGGGCTGGGGCGTACAGGAGGGTGCTCCGAGCTGGGGCAGAGGGGGTCAGAGGACAGGAGGGGGATCAGGGCTGGGGCAGAGGGTTGGAGCACAGGAGGGAGTCAGGGGTGCAGGATCCAGGTGGCGCTTACCTCAAGCAGCTCCCAGAAGCAGTGGCATGTCCCCCCTCTGACTCCTATGCGGAGACGTGGCAAAGCAGCTCTGTGCACTGCCCCGTCCGCAGGTGCCACCCCTGCAGCTTCCATTGGCCGTGGTTCCCAGCCATGCATAGGCACCACAGGGGGGACATGCCGCTGCTTTCAGCGGCGGCGCGGAGAGGGGCAAGCCCCCAACCCTGCTCCCCGGCTGAAGCAGGGCAAGCCCTGGACTCTGCTTCCCGGCTGGAGCTCAAGGGCCAGATTAAAATGTCCAGAGGGCCGGATGCAGCCCCCGGGCCGTAGTTTGCCCACCCCACTTTAGAACGTAAAAATCAAAAGGACTTTATAATTATTATTAAATAAGAACTGCAATACAGAATCTCTTCAAGTGTACCAGCATAGACCCCAACCCTACAAACACTTATGCATAGGTTTACCTCTATGCACATGAGTATTCTCAGTGAAGTTAAGCATGTATGTAAGAGTTTAAAGATCAAGGGCCTTCATCTGTAAAGATTATTAGAATTCTCTCAACGAAGGGTTACCATACTTTTTCATTATTACTAGTTTATACATTAATGCAGAACTGGTTGTTTTCAGATCATCATAGTATGTACTGATGTCAATTCCTGTTCTCTCACACTTACCCCTGGAGTGGCAACTTGTAGATTAAAAGCAGCACTAGCCAGTGTAAAAGAATGAAGAAAGGATTGGGCAGACACACCTGGAAAACAGAGTTGGACAACTTAAAGAAAGAATCATCATACCTTAAACCCAGCTACACTGTACATATTTCACCAACTAGCATTAAATGAATCTTCGGGTCACTTAAAAGCTCCCATGGCCTAGGGGCATTTTTAAAAACACAAGGAGAAATATTCACAAAGATAATGCATCTTACTTTCACACTCTATATTTGATGTTAGTATTCTAATAAAGCATTACATTTTCTAACGCTGTTGAGAAACAGGAACAGTACAGGCAGAGTCAGTGTTCAAGGAATTAGAGAGAGCAGCAAAATCCGAAGTCCCAAACCAATGAAAAATTAGTTGAAACAGTCTCCAAAAAAGGAACAGCACTGACTGTGCCATCTTCAGAAATTTCTAAAAGAATGACTCCCTGGCATCTGACGTAGCAGGATAAAGAACTATGGGAAAGGATCATGCCTGTACACGTATTTCTAATTATAGAAATCTTAAGTTCTGCTCAGAGCCAGTTCTAGACAGTGAGGTATTTTTACAATCTGCATCAGCACAGTAGCTGAGCCTTTCACAAACTTTAATGAACTCAGGTATATCTCACCTTCAGAGAGGTTTCAATAAGCTTCTTTCACAGAGTAAAACAATGAGGAGTCCTTGTGGCACTTTAGAGACTAACAAAATTATTTGAGCATAACCTTTCATAGGCTAAAACCCACTTCATCAGATGCATGAAGTGAAAAATACAGTAGGTAGGTATAAATATACAGCAAGTGAAAAGATGGGTGTTGCCTACCAAGTGGGGGGTCAGTACTATCGAGGCCAATTGAATCAGCGTGGATCCGGTCATACAGCACGTCTGACCCAGCCGATTATTGAACCCATCTCATGAGCCTTATTTCAGCACCTGAACTACCAAACCAACCTTCCTCTGAAGCATTAGCGTCGTTCCTGTCTGTCTTCTGCTGGAAGCGATTCATACAAATCGCTCTCCAATCAGGCTGCGTGGGCAAGCGCAGTTTGCCAGCCAGGTCTACCACCCAGCCTCTTCATTTACTCCTGGACAGCCTGGATCCCCTCGTGAACACAAGGTGGGGGACTCGGGGGCTGGCCCGGACCCCGCCGCTGCCCCTGCCCCCATCCCAGCGCAGCGCGGGGACAGCGAGCGCCGCGGGCTCCCCCTGGGCAAGTACCCCACGGGCCACACTCGCCAGCGGCCTGAAGGCGGTTTCCGGGCTGGGAAGGAGGCGGCAGAGCCGGGCCCGGGCCCTGACCCCCCGCCTGATCCCGCGGTCACCGCGCTGCGACGGGCGCGGCCAAGGCGGGCGGGCCAGAGGCGGGTCCCGCGGCGGGGCTGAGGGAGGCCGGGGCAGAGAAAACCGGCGTCGGGGCGGCCCCCCTCCCTCCGCAGGGGCGGCCCAGCTCTCGGTCCCCTTCCGGGGCCGCGGCGCGGGGGCCCAGTGGGGCAGGGGCGGCCCGGGCCGCGACTCACCCCCGGAGGCCGCGCTGGCGATGATGAGGCAGGCGGGCTTGCCGGGCCGCTCCGACATGGCGCTGGCGGGGCCCGGCGGCGGCGGCTGCCTCCTCATACGGACGGACCCGGGCGAGGGCCCCAGTGGCGGTTGCCGGGCCGCACCGCGCAGGCGCCGCGGCGGCGGCACCCGTTCGGGGAGGGGGAGGGGCCTCGCTCGGCTCCGCACGGCTGTTCCCGCCCCCGTCAGCGCCCGGGCCCACGGGGCAAAGGGGCGGGGCCGAGAGGGGGTGTCATTGGCCAGGGGGGAGGGAGACAAGAGGGTGTCATTGGCAGGGTTTTGTGGGGCTTGGGCAGGGGGAGCTGTGGCCTAAGGTGTGGGGGCCATCCAAAGGCGGGAGCCCCCTTGGCATAGTGAGCCCCACTCACAATGGACGTGTCACAGCCGCTCCTCACGCAAGTGAACCTTTACTCACTCTCACTCACACACACATACCCCGTACATCACTACACAGCTCTGGTTCAGCCCCAGAGCAGGGGCAGCCTGTGCGCTCAGGGGCTGGGGTCCTGGGGGGGGACAAAAACCCAGTGATCATGTAATTAATGAGGACAGGAGCCTAACGCAAACACGCTAGGGGACAAAATCAAGGCTGCACAACGATAATCTTAATTTTGGCAGGTTTCAGAGTAGCAGCCGTGTTAGTCTGTATCCGCAAAAAGAAAAGGAGGACTTGTGGCACCTTAGAGACTAACCAATTTATAAATTTGTTAGTCTCTAAGGTGCCACAAGTCCTCCTTTTCTTAATTTTTGCATTTCTCAACTTCAGGGGCTTGATTTTGCAAATTTAATGTTCTTTTTAAGTGGGGCTGTTCTTGTTTGTTATGTAATTTCCTAGGTTTTAAAAAAGCAAAGTGAAAAAACAGTAACTCCACCCTGTAGAATCCACGCCCCATGGATCCTTGTCCCAGTCTCCCCCCAGCTGCCCTTTCTGGGCCTCTTGTTCCAGTCCTTCCACACCTCAGCCCCACCTCTTAATCCAGCTGCTCATCCCAAACCCCCACTGTATCCTGGCTTCTCATCCCACTCCCAATATTGTGGTTCCAAATCCCAGTTCCAGTCCACCCCTTGGCTTCTCAGCCCAGTCTTCCCCCTAACACTAGGCCCAGCTCCTCTCCCCTCTGCGTTCCTGTCAGACAGGGTGACCAGATAGCTTATATGAAAAATCGGGACCGGGTGGGGGGTAATAGGCACCTATGTAAGAAAAAGCCCAGAATATCAGGACTGTCCCTATAAAATCGGGACATCTGGTCACCCTACTGTCAGACAACTTCCTCCTTCACTGGCTGGGGGGGGGGGGCATCGGAAGGGGAAACACGCTCAAGAACAGGAAAGGCTGACTCTCAGTTCCTCTGCCCAGCACCACATCAACCTTTAGCTGCCAAGAGTAGCCACAGCAATTTGCAGCCACAATCCTGGTGAGCATCTACAGTCCTTGGTAGGAGCATGCTCAGTCATTGTGTGGGGACAGATTGGTGCAGCCGCAAGCAGAGTCCCATCATAGGTAGAAGCTGTAATGGGGAGTCTGGAGCATAGTCGGTGCAGATGGAATCTGCAGAGAATTTAGCAAACTCTAAAGTCTCTAGGAGGCAGGTGCAAACTGAGATTTTGAGAGACGCTTCACTTGGTCGAATTTTGGGCATACTTTCACAGGAATGGCAAAAAGTACATATCTGATATGAGCTACTCCCCTTCCCACATCCTGTTTCTACTTCAAAACATAAGAGGTGCTAGAGCTTCTCAGTGAAATGATTGTTAGGATTTTTTAACATGGACAAAACAAGGTATTTTCCCTAGCCTTTTCTTTGGAAACAGCTAAACTATTTTTGCTGAAAATTTCCAGAAATAAATTCAGCCCAAGGCAGACACCCAGCAGGAAAATTTCAGCCCAAACAGTTAAAATTTGGCAAAGTTATAAGTAATTTTAAAGAGGGTCTTAAAATAGAAAGTATCAGATAATCTTATCTATAGGCAGCACTACCTGCACCCCTGTAATAACATAGGCTTACATTTTCAAACATAGGTGCTTAAGGCTAGGCACCTAAATCCATATTTAGGCCTCTAAATAAGTGTCCTGGGGCCAGATTTTCTGAAGTACCAAGCATCCACAACTCCAGTTTAAGTCATTAGGAGCTATAGATGGTCAATTCCTCTGAAAATCAGGCCAATTATATAGGTGCCCTAAGTTTAAATATGGATTTAGGTGCCTAACTTTAGGCATCAAGTTTTAAAATCCAAAGCTAAGATACTTTGCTAAAAGCCCTTTAAAAATTGTCATTAACTCTGTATGTCTTCTCCCAGCATTGCTGATCACCAAGGTATTTGCATTCTCCATTTCAAAGCCTTAGAGGCAGGCGATCAGGGCAGTCCTTCTGGATTCCAACTTCAGGGGGGCTACAAATCGACCTCCAGGGCGCTACATTGCTTGTCCCCCGCTTGTCCACTTTGTTTTTGTTTTTTGCTCATCTGCTTCACTCGGGGGGCACCAAAAACGTTTTCCACCTTGGGCAGCAAAACACCAAGGGCCAGCCTTGTTTCAAACTCTCTGGAGTTTTTCCCTTCTGCAACTGTGTGGAAGTTGTGGGTGCTTGGCCTCTTCAAAAATCAGAAACATTATTTAAATGTCTAAATATGGATTTAGACATCTACCTTTAGACACCCACATATGAAAGTATTTAACCTAAGTGTCTCACCGAAAGAGATACAGCTAGCAATTGAACCCACAAGTGTGGGATTCCCATTCCCTTGCTCTAACCTCAAGAGCAAAATTCTTTCAGGATTGCGTATTTGAATTTGAAGAATCATTTGCTTTTAATTTGAAATTCTCCTGGTGCTGATATTCTCCAAACTCAGGTTTGGAAAGTCTGGAATAGTCCTGTTTAAATGGTGGACACCAAATCTGACTGAACTCAAATACCTTATTATGCACCATAAGGCACGTAGCAACCATTACTCTATCATCTTTTATCATGTCAATCATGCAGTGCATCTCACACACTCAGGCAAGGAGGAAACAATATCACTTTCTTGACCCAAAGCTATTTTTCATTTATTGGAATTTGACTCGTATTTTATTCCTAATATATTCCAATTAACCTCTTGGAGGGGAGGGTGGTGGGACAGGGACAGAAAGGAACAGCCATTTTGCTCTCCCTGCATCCTTTAAGAAGCTGCAGCTGCTATCAACATTTCACAATAATGAGATTATAAAAGATCTCAGAGAACTAACCTATCAAGTTGCTATGGCAGCTGAAAGGGTGAAGACTGAAATTTATGGACCCAGGACTTGAGTGATTACATTGAGCCAATAAAACAAACATCAGAATTGTAAACTAATTAAACAAATATTTGTCCTAGAACCATATTTCCCATTCTTCATATCTACTGCTGTATTGCCTCACTTGTGTACTGTATGTTTTTAATTTTTAATGACTTGTTAGTCTTTGAGGAAGATGTTCATTTATTGTAAAAATCTTTTTTTTTTTTTGGTGGCATATCTCACCAAAGAAAATCTAATTTCTATAAATCGTGTGCAGTAACAGTTTCCAGATTTGCATTTTTTTTCAGTATTATTTATGTTCATGCATTAGGCTTATTCTCATCTATATTCCATGAGCAAATAAAAGCATCAGTGTCAATACACATGGGCTTAAAAGAAAAAGAGAGAGAGAGAGACAACATCATTTTCTTTTATTATTTTGTTTATTTGAGGAAGCCTGTTTTGTAATGTTATATATTATTTTCTGCTTCCAGTTGTAAAGCAGGATTCACTAACATGACGTAGCCACAGACACATTCTGTGACATCATAGGACTGATATGTGGCGTGTTTGCTTCTTTTCCTAAGAGGGCTATAACCCTTAAACACAAAACCTTAACAGTCCTCTCAACAGTATTAAGGCATAATAGCTTCTCAAAGGCATGAAATGTGCAACAGTCAGATGTGCTGAGCCTTTGATAGAAAAACAAGTTTCATGAAGTTGGTATACATGTTGCTTGTTATGCGTATCTGTTGAAGATGGACCCTGAAAGCCTCATTGGAGTATGGTGTTGATAGTGCTGTACAAAATACGAAAGTGGAAAGAATGCACAACTCTTTTTCTTACTTCTTATTTCCATTTTTTTAAGGTTTTGGGTGGGTGGAATATGTCTTGATGCAACCTGAACTGCCACTAAATGCAATTTTTGTTTGCCAGTGGGACTTTGCAGGGAGTATCCTGGTGTCTGAATTCAGTTTACTCTTTCTTTGTGTTTCTTTACTTTATAATTTTGCAATCATTATTTAATTCCTAAATTATTGCATTACCTCCTTGTTGGCCATATATATATCTTTCCACTAGGCTAGGGTTCCCAGCCCACCTAACTTTCTCACCTCTTCTCTCTCTCACATACTTCCTTATAGCTTAATTTTGTGGAGGCATTGAGCACCTGCATCTCTCATGGATTTTAGTTATAGTTGCAGGTGCTAAGCACCTCTGAAACAAAAGATCATTAATTCCTAACAGGCTGGCCTTTGAGCCCACTAGATATGTGGCCAGATCCCCAATCAGTATTGCTCCATTGACTTCCATCAATTTATACCAGTTGATGATCTGACCCTTGTGCATAAATCTTGCCTTGGGCTACAAGTGAAATGAGTTTGGTGGGTTTTATGCTAATTTCTAATTTGTGTCAATCTCACAACCAGCACACAGTTTGGTAAAATAGAGCCAGATAAGCTCTGGTTCTGCTAAATTGCCCTCAGCTCAGCATGGACTGCAGGGGCAAAAATGGCTTTAAAGGGGACTTGCAGTTCCCTGATCCTGGGGC